GAATAGCATAATCAAGTGCATGTAACAGGCATCTGCCCGGGGAATTCCCGGACAATAGTATCAGCTAGTGATATTTCCGGGTATGAGAGTACGATCATTTTAATTTAGCCTATCGCTAAACCCCGGTCTCTCTTAACTTAGCACGGCGGGTGTGGCTTCTTTCGAGAGTAAAACCGTCCTTGATGTGACGTCTGTCGATCAAGGCAGCATTTACCCCACAATCACTCTTAATCAGTTCTATAGCTGGGTCCCTCGGTGTATTACCGCCCGTCTCCCCGCCAGCGAAAGTCTTTGCAATTGACTCTCAAGAGCGAATTGTTACCGATTCCAAGTTTTTGACACCGAATTACACGTTTTTAATGAGTATCCAGGTACTTTCTGCCTAAAAAAAACCATGCAAACGCGTTCCGGAAGATGGCCCTGACCGAATTCGATGCAGGATGGGGATGAGGGGAAAGAAATATGGAAGGTACTTTGAATTTGAAAGAGGTATTGCTTTACGTATAAAGCTATGGATAGTTCTCGTCCATATCGATTTCCCTCTGACTGAAATGCAACAGACAGAGACTACAGGTTTTCCTGGGAATTCTTAATGATCATTGGAATCCTGAGTTCAATGTTTTGGTTGAAGACTCTGATATTTACCCTGCTATCAGGGCAAGCGATAAGCCAGAGCACTTTATTGAAATCAAACAACTTGACAGAGGCCATTCAATGGTTAGTTTCTCCACCGCTCAAGCCACACCAACTCCTTAATTGAGTGGTGCCAATTACTTACTTGAACTTCAGGGACGCTACTTCTCTCTATATTGATGGACAGCCGGTATTTATTTTCTCAGGAGAGTTTCACTACTGGAGAATCCCAAATCCTTCCCTATACCTGGATATATTTCAAAAAATACGGGCAACTGGTTATAATGCGATCTCTATTTACTTTCATTGGGTATGGATCAAGATATCGCTCTCTTTTGGAAAGGATTAGAATTAATAAACTATAAATAGGGGTTTCACTGTCCAAAAGATGGTGTCTTTGACTTTGAGACCGGGACTCATGATCTACAGCCCGTGTTTGACGCGGCAAAGAAAGCTGGGTTGTGGGTGATTGCTCGCCCTGGCCCATATCTTCATGCAGAAACAACTGCAGGCGGGTTCCCTGGGTAAGTATGACTCGCGTTGACGCTACAAATATAAGATGTTCTAATAATCCTACAGCTGGCTTATTAATCAGCCTTTGGAAGTTCGCACAAACGATCCACTCTATACAACGGCTTGGAAAGAATATATCGCAAAAATTGGCCCGATTATCGCCAAGAACCAAGTCACCGAAGGTGGCCCCGTAATACTGGCGCAGATCGAAAATGAGTACAGGAGTGGTAGTGGGTCATAGTGAGTGATTCGATGGCATGCTATTATGGTTTTCCCTTGAAATCTAAACTAATATCATTGTTTTTTTTTAGTGCTTTCGAAGGTGCCGACGAATACATGGAAGATCTTTCTGCAACCTACAAAGAAGTAGGAATAGTCGTGCCTATATTCCATAACGATTTCAATAAGAACGTTCGAGGCGGTTCATGGAATCCTCGTAATTACCCCGGTGTCTTGGACATTTATGGGCTTGATAGTTACCCTAGAGGATTTGACTGTGCCAATCCACAAAGGAATTTTAATATCGATACTGGATACTACAACCATTTTGCCCAAGTCAATTACGGGGGCCCTTCGTTCACTCCTGAGTTCCAGGGAGGCGCGTTCGACCCTTGGGCAGGTCCTGGTTATGAAAAATGTGCCGAGATGGTTGGGTGAGCTACCCGTATTACATTGAACCACGTATCTATTATATGCATAAATCCGTGCTAACATGTCTAAATAGACCGGAATTTGTCGATGTTTACTACAAAAATAATGTTGCCCAAGGCTTCACGATGCAATCTTACTACATGACCTTCGGAGGCACCAACTGGTAATATTCAATTCTAAATGATCGATAATGGCCTATTAACATCCGATAGGGGTCATGTTGCAACGCCTGTCGTCTACACTTCCTATGATTATGGCAGTGGTATCACTGAAGGCCGCCTCCTCCGCGATCGTGCCAACGAGTCTAAACTCCTTGGTCTCCTCACTCGTGCCACCACCTCCCTCTTGCATGCGCCCCAAGTTGGCAATAGCACAGCCCAAAACTACACTACCAATGCCGCTGTTTTCGTCACAGAACTTCGCAACGCTGCAGTTGATGCGGGCTTCTATGTTGTTCGAAGCGCAGTGACAAACTCTACCGATACCAAATCATTTTCTATTAACCTTGAGACCAGTCTTGGGCCCATCACTATTCCAAGCGGAAGTTCAACATTGCTCTTAGAAGGTCGTCAAACAAAGATCATACCCACCGATTACAAAGCAGGGAAAACAAATATTCTATACTCAACTGCTGAGATTGCTACCTGGACTGTGATAGATGGGAAAGATTTTGTATTATTCTATCTCAAGGAAGGTCAAGCCGCAGAGATCGCTGTTTCTGGTGTTGATAGCGGAGAGGTCACAACAACTGGGTCAGCAAAGATAACTCACAAATCCACCAACGGTACTTTGATCATCGATTTTGTTCAAACAGCGGGTCTTTCAGTTGTTCAGCTTCCTGGTGCAACCTTCTTGCTTACTGATAAGTCAACGGCCTATCAATTCTGGGCACCAGGAATCAAGACTGCATACTACGAACCACCAGAATCCCACGTTTTAGTATCAGGACCGTACCTGGTACGAAACGCCACTGCACATGGAAAAACCCTTGACTTGATCGGAGACATCAACAAGGACATTCAGCTCGAGGTCTTCGCGAATTCAACTTTCTCTTCAATCACATGGAACGGTGAAAGGCTCAACACAAAGAAAACAAAATATGGAAGTCGCATAGTGAACCTCAGCGGGCCAAACCTGAAAAACCTGAGAATTCCATCATTAAATGGTACAAAATGGAAAACCATTGATTCGCTACCTGAGATTGATCCAGACTTTGATGACTCCGCATGGGTCAAGGCGGACAAGATGAACTCAACAAACCAATATTTCCCTCCAAAGACCCTTCCTGTCTTATATGCGGGTGAATACGGCTATCACACAGGGAATACAATTTACCGCGGTCGTTTTATTGGTAAAACCGCCAATGGGACTACTGCTACAGGCGTCGCATTGGAAGTTTGGGGTGGAGCTGCATTCGGGTACAGCGCCTGGCTCAATGGTGAATTTCTTGGTTATCACGCAGGCACCCCTGACCCAGCTGGTTATATTGAAAAATCTCACCCTTTCACCAACGTTACCGTCAACGAGGAAGAGAATGTACTTGTTGTTCTTGCAGATCGTATGGGTTACGAGCGCGACGATGGTGCCTTCGGAGACCCACACTCCACAAAGAAACCTCGTGGTATCCGGTCCGCAATTCTTACCGGTGGCAGCAGTTTTACATCTTGGACTCTCCAAGGGAATGTTGGCCAAGAGGAATTCGATGATGCGGTCCGCGCGCCATACAACGAGGACGGGCTTTATGCTGAGCGTATTGGTGCCCATTTCTCGGGCTTTGACGACTCTAAATGGGAAGAAGGATCGCCTATGGACGGATTTGAAGGGCCTGGAGTGAAGTTTTATAGAACCACTGTTAAGCTTGATCTTCCAGACGGCTGGGACGTGCCCTTGGGGTTCTTTATGAAGATTGAAAATGGAACATCTGCCAGAGCTGAGCTTTTCGTTAATGGATGGCAATTTGGGAAATACGTCAGCGATATTGGGCCACAAACAATGTTCCCTGTCTTCCCAGGTATAATTCATCCTCAAGGGAAGAACACAATCGCGTAAGTCTTTCCGTGGATCCCGGTATATCAGGCTTATAGATGAAAATAAACTAACGTATATGGTGTCTAAGTATTGCATTATGGGGACAACATGATGTTCCGGTCAAGTTCCAGGAGCTTTACCTTGGGCCGCTGGATATTTTTAAGAGTGGCTACGGACCTGTTGAGAGCGAAGGCCTGACACCAGGATACAAAGAGGGAAGAAAGAAGTATGAAATTAAATGAACCTAAGACAATTTCGAGAAATTTTTTAAGTAAAAATATATATACTATCTAAAATCATGAACTATTACTATCAGATAACCGTCTTCTCACTGAATATTAAATGATTAATGAGTAAACAATAGAGCGTATTTGCCAACCGTCAATTTCAACTATTAACACTTCAAACTTAACAACTTCAAAAAGCAAAATTAACAGTTCCCCTCAGTAACAAAAATCAATCTAGTTAACGGTATGACAGAATAACCCCGAAAATCAGACAACTCACCACGCTACCTGTGAAGTACGCTGTACTTGGAACTGAAAATTCATACCCGATACTAGCTTCGGTAGTAACAAAACTGGGTACTTGTGATCCTCCTGGTATATCTCACAGCACGCCGCCCCGCCGAAATCCAAAATTAACAACGCCGGTTGCCATTTCGGAGCCCCACAATTTTGAAATTGACGGTTGGCAAATTATAACTACGCTCTAATACCATCACTAAATATTAATCACAATCATACTCTATCACTCGAACATAGTGATTTTATGAAGTTTAAAGGGAATTTGAAATGGGACTTTGTTGACATACAAGCACATAGAGAACTGCTAAAATGAAGGACAGTATATATGTATCTGGATTGTAGCATTCATTCGCTAAAATTTAGTTTAATTCGGATGCCTCAGCCAGCATCGATTAACTACCACAATGATCATGATATGTGCTTATGCCTGATTCCTTATTATTCCCGAAGCCACCGAGCCAGATATCCTGCCGTTCGACGTATGTAATAACATTAGTACAGTACATATGCGCATGGAGTAGGTATTTACAACATGTACCTATATCTCAATAGTTACATGCAGTTGATTATCGTGATGACTCAATGATTACTAAGAATATGCTGTAAGCTTCATAAGTAGACCTCAGTGCACCCTGCGTCATACACAACATGGATTCGCCAGCACCTTCACACGAGCCAGACTCGGCACAAAACCCGAAATTAATAGAAGAATCAAATGTCGAACCTCCTCTATCCTCTTCAAGCTCCGACGATCAGGATGATATCGCAACCCCTCGTGCGTCAACTTACCAGCCTGTTACGGCTTTGGATGCAGATGCACTCAATCGTATAGCTCTGGAAGAAGATTACTTTCCACCGCCACTACCTCCACGTCCAATACTGGACTCTGCAACCTCTAATATTCTCTCATTACAGAATATACATTCTGCTACTTCAAGCGGTTCCTCTACTCCCGGCCTCCAGGCCAAAGCTACAACTGCTATCTCCCTCCCCGAGGGTGTTCATGCTCATCAAACCGATGGAGCTGGCTCCGGTACTGGTAGTGGAATTGTTACAGGTGCTCCGTCATTTAGTGACACAAATAGTATTGTTAGCCTTGTGCCGACATTAAATACAGGGGACAATGACGTTGAGAGCATGTTGGGTGAGATACTCAGTGAGAGTGAAGGAAGGTTCTTAGGAATGAGAAGTAAAGGTCTGGGAGGAATTGGGTTTTCAGATGGAAATATTGAGGATGAAGGGTGGGATGAGAGTAGTGACGAGGAGGGGTTGGAAGAAGGTAAATCCACCCAGAGCCAACTTGTATATACGAATGATGCTAATAAGAAATAGAAGCATTAATTGCGAGGTGGAGAGCGCGTAAGAAACACTTTTTCATCCTCTCCTCAGCCGGGAAACCGATTTACAGCAGATATGGAGATGAAACCGTCGTTTCCGGATATATGGGCGTCATACAGGCTATCATATCTTTCTTCCAAGATGGAGACGACACTCTGAAATGTTTTAGTGCTGGGAAACATAGATTTGCGGTAGTTGCTGAAGGACCGCTATACCTGGTTGCAATCTCTTCAATGGGGGAGTCAGATTCACAGGTATACAAATTTCGTTCTTCTATCAGTCTAGATCATACCTTCCCAGGAAAATATACACTCCCTAGTTTGAGGCCTCCGTTTCACATCAAGAGTCTAGAAGAATTTCAAAATATTACCCCCAGAGCACCAACACAAACACAAAGGGATCGGTCTTCAACATTACCCAAGCTCTTGCACTGTAACTAGATATCTTTTGAGGGGAATATATTTCAAGTTTCAAACAGAGGGTCGTTACTAACTTCTCTGACTAGCTGCGAGCCCAACTCGACGCTCTGTATACCCAAGTCCTTTCTACCCTCACTCTCAGTCAGCTGTCGAAAATATTTGCCACCCGTGAAAACTTTGACCTTAGACGCCTCCTTGGGGGTACTGAGGTTTTCCTTGACGGCCTCTCTGATGCTATGACAAGGGGATCTCCTCAAATCCTTCTCTCTGCCCTGGAATGCGTTAAGATGCGCAAACATCATCGCGAGAAAATCAATAATATCCTCCTCAAGTCTCGATCATCTTCACTACTTTATGGGTTGGTGATTGCGGACGAGCGCCTTGTAAGTGTGATAAGACCAAAGCGGCATAGCCTTCACCCCCCGGATCTTCAACTACTTTTCTCGATGCTTTTCAACGCGAGCACTTTTAGAGATGGAGGGGAACACTGGACTCCTATTTGTCTGCCGAAGTTTAACAGTAAAGGATTTTTGCATGCGTATATTTGCTTCTTTAGGAAAGAACTTGCCCTGGTATTGATATCCGCAGATAAGGATGCATTCTTCGAAATGAGGGAGGTCAAGGAGGTTGTGGTTGAGGTACAAATTTCATTTCCTTTTCCTGCGGGCTTATCCTATTCCAATCTTTGATCATTGAGGAAATTTTAACCTGATCCCATGGTGTAGCAACTGGAGAAAACTGGGTGCGTAGAAATTGTGGAAGAGGCTGTCTCACGCGGGCGTTATACAACAACCGACGTGCTTCCCGGTACCGTTATAAGACACTTCTTGTACAAATCTCGTGCCAACGTCCAGTTCACTATGCCTTCATTCGAGCCACATTTCTATACCGTTATCACCCGAAGAAGGTTGATGAACCTGTACCAACGACTTCACTCTGCCGTCCATGCAAAGAACGCTCATTTGAAGGTCCATCACTGCATCCGCAGCTCTTCTGTGTCTTTATCTTGGATTACGCCTACCTTTGAACTTTATTGCGTGGCCGGTGCCGGAGCAAATAGAAATGCGCTTGCCAAAGGAGCGACGTCAATTGTTAACTGGGTTAAAAGGGAGGAGGAGAGATTATTTGTCATTGGGGGGGCGGTATATTCCCTTATTCTCACAACACTAATGCATTGTTCATATAAGTAACTAATATCATCTACCTAGATGTTTTAATTTTCTCCCGCGGGGTATTTACACGCCAAATATTTCTTCAATGGTTCTCGGCTCACCTGCCATTTTACGAAAACAAATCAACACTTACCCGGGCCCTGGGTTACCGATTCGCGTGTATGGGGCCAAATATCAGCTCCATATACATACTTATAAACTAACCTAAGGGTAGTTCATGGAGAGATGGTCTAACGATATTGTTTTTTCGGGAACCTTTCTAGGAGATAATTCAGGATCTGTGGGGGTGGCTAAAACTCCGCCTAAGGAAATGAATTGTGTTCAGCATGTTATTTCATATTCATAAAACAACATTAATCTATTGGAGATGGTGCTTTTGTATAAGCAACCCAATTCAGTTCTTCTCACCCCATCTGCAAACTTTGTAGCATTTCCCTACCTATAATCCACCAACGGAGGTTCAACAAAACGAGACTTTGATCCTCAGTGAAGTGTCAAACCACATTTCGTTGTCTCGACCACATGCAGACTTAGTAAATAAACCCCTAATATGTTCATAGCTACATATATATTCCTATACATAAAACAGGCTTAGTAGATGAGTTTGCTACTAACTAGTAAATCGATCATTGCTTGTATATTTCAACTGTTGTAATAATATCTGTAACCTACTCAAGTCCGGAAGTGCTATATGTAGTGCTTGTATTAAACTTAATTGGAAAATATATAGCGGTTACTGGTATTATATCATGAGTGCCAGGATCAAGAGATACCCGTATTTATCTCCCCTTTCTATTCTCTCATAAACAAGCCTTTGGACCTGTTCAGTCGCGCGCGCGTGGTATTCAACACTATGGTGTGAACGGTTTCGTGATATTTCGTCCCCATAGCAAAACTGTGTATTGCCCCAGTATTGAAGTGCTTGGTTGAGTCAACAATTCATGTGAGTAGCCATTGCTAACGCATGGATAAATATACTTGCATTTACCCCACCAACGACTATAACTACATGTATCCGTTGATTGCGAGTACACACCTGCCCCGTAAACTCCGTTACCAGCTCATTTATTCAATTTCTATATATATCCACCGTCGGTACATCTAGTTACAATTGATAAAAAGTGTTTTAGATGATAAATACATACATGTAGTTATGATTGAAGTTAGACGGAGAGTTGGGGTTGAGGTTGGGATTGCGCACCACATTTGGGTGTTGGGAATCATGCAAAAGCTTATGGCCGATTGAACACCCAGATACAATTGTATCGGGAATACCACAGCTATATGATGTACATTGTGGCCTAATACCATAGTATTTGCTGTTGACCGAACAGGCCCTTACCGGTTTCTACAAGGTGCTTAAAATCTTGACTTGAAAGAAAGGGTCACTATTGTCTTCTATTTAACGAGATTGCTTTTACAAATTAGCATGTTTAAAGGGAACGTAAATAGTGCTAGTCCTGCAAGCAATATTTTGTTCGAGTGAGACTTCGATAGATTACATAAGCGACAGCAAGCCCTAAGCCCTCTCTCCCCACATCACCTCATCTTCGTTGTCAAACCCAATCCAGTTGGTCTTAACTTTTTTGTGGGAGTCATTTCAACAACCCCGCCACTGCAACTCAACTTCACATATCTTTCCATCTATTCACACAAACACATCAATAATTTCCGCGATACGAACTAGTCTCATCTCGGAAAAAACAAGACACAGATTGCAATCATGTCTGATAATGAAGTAGGTTCCGCCCCACTCGTTTTGGGGACTTGAAGGACGGCGTTTATCGCCATCGACTGTATCTTCATGATTTCGCCATATCAATTCATGGGGAGTAGATATTAATAATTGATTCAGGAAGCTCCTGCATTCGACCCGTCGTTGAAGAGGAAGAAACCAAGAAGGAGTGTTACTTTTGAGGATGGTCAGAACGGCGAAGACGATACTAATGGTGAGAAGACTACCGCTCAGAGCCACAGCTTGAGTATGTTTTGAACGTTTTTTTAAATTCAATCCTGTACTATCTCTTTCTGTATTTATGCTAGTTTATTCCTCTCCGTTTCTTCTAGCCCTCAACAAAAGTTAAGCACCAAACTAATACTATCAATACCATAGGTCCAGTTTCCACTGCCGGAGCTGACGAAGAAGACCCTGTTGCCGAGGTAACGGAGCTCTTCAAGGGCCTCAAAAAGAAAAAGAAGAGTAGCAAAAAGGTAGAGGAAGAAGGCGAAGAAGCACCTGCAGCGGAGGGGGAGTTTGACCCTACAGCTCTTCTCAAGAAGAAGAAAAAGAAGAAGTCAACCAAGGAGAAGTCCGCCGAAGCCGGCGAATTCGAGGCTCAACTTGCTGAGGCTGGTGTTGTTCCCCGCGCTGAAGGGGAGGATGAGGCCGCCGAGCCCGCCGAAGAGATTGCTCCTGAAGATGCTGGCGACCTTCTGCTTGGAACAGGTGTCTGGAATTCCAAGAGCACTGTGGACTTGACATATCCTCTCTTACTCACCCGATTCTTTACTCTTCTGAGGACACAGCACCCAGACCTTACTGGCGATGGACGAAGAAGCTACAAAATCCCGCCGCCTCAGGTTCTCAGAGAAGGAAACAAGAAGACCATCTTTGCAAATATCTCGGATATTTGCAAGCGTATGAAGAGACAGGATGAACACGTTACGCAGTTCTTATTTGCAGAATTGGGAACCAGTGGTAGCGTCGACGGAAGCAAGCGTCTGGTCATTAGGGGTAAATTCCAGCAAAAACAGCTGGAGAACGTTCTCAGACGCTATATCCGTGAGTTTCCCTCTAGTTATCCGTCTACCACGCTATCAGGAACTAACAGAAGAACAGTGGAATACGTTACCTGCAGGACTTGCAAGTCCCCTGACACCGACCTCAAGAAGGGAGAAAACAGGTTGTTCTTCGTTACTTGCAACAGCTGTGGTTCCAGACGTTCCGTTGCGTATGTTTTTATCCTGCTCCATTGTTATCTTGCGTGCAGTACTAATATTTCTAAATCACAGTGCCATCAAGACTGGTTTCCAGGCCACCGTTGGAAAGAGGCGAAGACAACAAGCTTAGGGTACAGTCGATATTCAAAATTCAAGTCTTATTTTACCATGTTTTACTTCAACTATTTTTTTCTTTCCTTTTTTCGGTGTAGAGGGATGGAAAAGGGCGATCGTTTTGATCCTTATATAGTGGCAACGGAATGGTGGGGATTTCTTTTCTTTTATTGTGGGTTTTTTTTTTGTGGATCGTGAAGGCAATACGGGGAATAGGATTTTCATATTGGGATAAAATCAAATGAATTCCCACTTTGTCCTTGGGCCCGACTTCGAACCCATCCCTGTAGGATCACATGCGGTGGATCTTTGTCGCCCATGGAAAATGACGCTTTGAAGCGAGCCCAGTAGATGTTTACACATAGGTTCAGTAGTTGAAGCAAAATGTAAACCTTATCAATAGCGATAAAAATGCTATATACAACATGCTCATAAAATATTTTTCTTCCCATCTCGTTTAGTCTCACACCATTCAATTACATGTAGGTATCTATCATATCATAGCCAGCTTCTTGTTCTCGCAACTTCAACTTACGCTACCTCGAATTCAAAATAACAATAAGCAGGATACTCCGCATCTCCCATGATACCGGTGGCAAGATCACCAACATCGTCTTTGATGTTCCCCTTTTTGTCTCGGCCGAAGGCGTTGCCGCCAAGGTAGTTGTAGGCTTTGTCGAGGGGCTTCTTGACATTTTTTGCGTTTTTTGGGTTGGTCTAATTTGGTTAATTGAGAAACCCGTGTGCGAACAAGGAGGGAGAGAAATCAACCTGAATAATAACACTAACGAAATCCAAAGGTAGCCCATATCTCAATACGCTCTCCACAAAGACTCTGAGCGCCTTAACATGGGTCCAGGCCATGAATAGATCACTATATCCCGTTCTCGCAAGCCTTAGGGTATCACCATATAATCTTCGCTCATTGGCCTGGACATCCATCGCCTCTCTTTTGTCTTCCTCCTCTGCTCCTTCCCTCCACTGGAATTCACGAGGGGTATATCGGGCAGCGCGGGCTTTGATGATGAATTCGGCAGAATGCTTCTTGAACAGCGTTACCGAAAAGAGAGCGTAGTCGTTGTCTTCTGCAATCTTTTTGGAGGAGCGTGGAACGACCATAGGGGTTAATGTTTCGTAGGTGCGGAGCCAATCTTTGGATAAGGATTTAGGGACGGCGATGAGCAGTGTTTCGAGATACTCGGAAGATTGTACGAAGTCTGACTTCTTAACAATAGAGGCTAAGGAGCGAGTAGAAAGGTTACCACTGTGAGCATGTTATTAGCAAGATAAGCTTATTAGGAGAACATAGGCAGCTACGTTTGTTTTCGCTGGACCGAGACCAGATTGCTTTTGACTTGTTGGTAGGCGGTGTATTTGGTCTTGATATCGTTATCGAGCGAAGATACTTCCTGTAACAATATACATATAAGCTTTTGGAGGTCTTTTATGCAGTGGAAAGCTAAGCTACCCTCTGTAGAGCATCTAGAAGCTCCGCGATTGACTTGTCGCTACGGTATTTGACCTTATTCCAGGAGAAGCTCCTCAGATAATGTTCCACTGGCTCTACAAATGCGCACAAACTCAGATTAGCTTCAATATTAGATAACTCCAACCTCTCTCACTATATCCCGCGAAGGGATCAACATACTATCACTAACTGTCTTGTGTCTTTCTGTCTCTTGTGGGCTGCTAACTATACTTCTTAGAACCTCCACAACCTTCCCTACCGCACCTTCCACATTTGCGTCTAGCTTTGTAAGCTCATCTGCTTGAAGCACGAGCGCGTCTAGCGTCCCAATTTTGAATTCTGGAATTGGGAAACGCAAGATTGTCCCTGCATCAGAGGGAACTGTGGACTGGATTGCAGTGAACGCATCTTCCGGGTCGTTCGAGCGAGAAATAGAGGAAGGAAGGGCAACTAGAAGGTAAGTATTGCCCGACATAGCTGTACTAAGCGCGGACGGGCAAGGGAAGAATGATAGTTCAAGGTCGTGATCGTATAGTGGGGTATCGTGGTGTTAGAGCTCCACCTAAGTGACGTTGCTATCGAGGCTTGGCGGAGGAGTCAGCAGGGTTATCAGACAACCCTCAGCCCTAAGGCGACGTTTTTATGGAGCCACAGCAAGCTGTTGACTTGGGCTTTCCCATTATTTCCAAACCTCACATAACCACAATGCCGACAATTGAAGTCCTCCCTTCGTCTTCAACTACCAGTGGCCCAAACTGGACCTACTCAAATCTTCCTCCAGCCCTCGCTCATAGGAATACGCTACCGGTGGCGACCCGTGTTCGGGCAACTCGAAACAATAATTTTGAAAATAGCGCAGCAAGGCAACGGCAAATTAATACCAGGATATTAGAGCTGGAAAATGACAACTATAGGGATGTGAATATACCGATTCCAGTCAAAGGGAAGGGGGGACGATGTGAGTGCTCATAGTTGCAGCGATTGTAAAAAGCTGATTACAACTAACCAAGACGGATAGCTTCTAATAGGACGAAAGCAAGCAGCACACAAAATGTCCGCCGTATTCTTGCTTCCCAAAAGACGTTCGCAAACCATTTAGCAGATGAAGAAGCTTTGCACCCTAGCGTTACCGGTTCCGCGGCAGCGACCCCTTCTCACCCAACATCCGGATTATTAGATGCACAAGTGTTACAGGATGAGGAGGACGCAGGTCAGCCTTTGGGATACATGGCCGCGGCTTCGGCGCCCCCTACGAAACCCAAGAGGGTATTCTGTGAGATTTGTGGGTATTGGGGGAAATATCGATGCCAAAGGTGTGCGGCAAGGTATTGCGGGTTGGAATGTGGTGCTGTGCATACAGACACGAGGTGTAATAAGTTTTATGCCTAGTATAAAGGAGTTTTACTATTGCGTATTTGGGAAGGGTTTTTAAAAGTATACCTCTGGAGTTGGGTTCTATTTTCTACGGGATACGCTTATTCAAGATTTAGATATATCAATGCATTAATTATGTTCTTCTACCCATACGGTACAGCTCGGTGCATGGTAAATGAAACATGACTACACGTAGACAAGGAAGATGGCTTCGCAAGGCACGCTTTGTAGACTGTTACAAGTGGGCTACCAAGCTCCATGATATAGGCCTGTAACGACCTCGTTAAAGATAACCCGCGCCGAGGAAATCAGCATCCCAGTCGAACCGAAGCTTTACTCTCCCCATTGGCTACATCCAGAAACCCTAACCCACCAATCTTGACCCAGCCTCTGGGGATAGGTAGCCCGTTGCTTGTTTTGCTTGCTCTCACTCGAACCGAACGCCTCCTCCAGCTCCTCTCATTCACGACATTACATACATAAATAGAACATACATCGCATCACATCTGGCATCATCTCCTCTTGCTTTGCCTTTCGCCTGCAGTAATCAAATCAGCTATCAAGATACATTACCTCTGCGAAGCTCATTGCGTGACCCCTCTTTTGCAGAAGCCAAAGCAAAGCAGTTCAAACCACGCACTATTTATCGAACTCTTTCTCCTTCCCGGCATCTAATTACCAGTGCTTTATTTATCGTTAGTTTCTTTATCTTTATTGTAGAAGGTATTGAGCCTTTTACAGGTGCACAATTCGCACAACCATTTGCCCATCTAGGCATCCCGCCCGTACAATTCCGGCAGCATCCCTCGCTGAGCCTCAAAATCGTTCCCGCTCTTGTTCGCTTACCTCTCTGCAACAAACCTTCCGATTCTCCCATCTCCAACCTCGCCTATATCGCAAATAACCTCGCACGGACGGAAACAGAGCTATAAGTCGGGGTAAAAATGGCCGGCGTGTCGGGAAATAAATCACAGGATTTTGAGAGCATGAGCTTCGATGATGATAACGAGCTATTCCGACAGGATACGGATGCGGAATCAGAGGGAGAGGACCAAGTAGAGGGTGAGGAGGAGGAGGAGCAGTTGTTGGTAGAACTCGCCCCCGCTGGAGGGGTACCAGCTTCATCGAGGGCTAAGGGGAAAGAGATAATCAAGAAGGAAGGGGAGGGTGCACCGATAATACCTCCGTGTACCAAGAAGGCAATATTAGCCACAGACCTCAAACCACCCTTCACGCAAAGTAAACCAAAAAAGAAGAAGAAGAAGCCATTAACACTCATCGAGCTACCAGTGGATGTGTTGAAGGAAATCGTTAAGGAGGTATGTCTGATTTATGCGCAATCAACAATAGCTCAACTTATTTTTACCATTGCGTTCATCCCATTCGTATTCAGTTTGATCTTTTATTGGGGGCTGACAGGTTGTAGGTGAACCACACGAATGACCTAACGAATCTATCCCTTACATGTCACTGTCTGCATGCTCTTGCTATCCCACACATCTACTCCCGATTCGATATTGTTTGGCCAGATGCTCTCACTCCAGGTGACCGTACCGGGGTTGATGCGTTGACCTATGGTCTCGCAACCCTTGTTGCATCAGGAGTACGGGGTAATGACTACGCACGATGGGTGAAGAAATTCTCCCTTGGTAATGGGCCAGCAGAATGGGTGAGCGACTATAACATCAACAAAGAAGGGGGCAAGATGCTTGGGACACTAGTTTGCCTTGCGATCACGAGAATGATTTCTCTGGAAACCTTTTCTTGGGACATGCCGACTGGGGTACTGCGGGATGTATTCAAAGCCCTCCATGATCTTAATGGGAGATTAAAGAATGTCCATGTCAGGTTCCACGATAATACCGACACCACTACACCGACATCTCAAGATCCCCGGAGAAGAGTGGAAACGCCGACTTTCAAGGGATTCAAGGGACTACGGAGCTTGAGTGTATTGGATATTGATGAGAGGCAGTACCTGGAGGAGATTAGCTATGCGATTGAAAACTCCGTTGACTCTCTCAGGGAGCTGAGACTGGGATTAGCGGGACATGTTCCTCCATCTGGCGGATGGATTAGGGATCTAGACGAGATTCCGAGCAGTATTAATACAGGTATTGGCGGGCCTTTACCAGCTGCTTTGCCCGCTGTCGGTGGTGTATTAGGGGTCATTGTGAGTAGGATCATTGATCTGGAAGAAGGGAGACGCAGGAGGAAATCTACCCGAACTGTAGAGGGAGCGAATATAAGTACTCCGAGTGTTGCAGCAAATTTGATTGATGTTTCGGAGACGGTAGTAATGCCTCCAGCGGCTCTGGCGTCTGTGTACCTGAACGCAGATACTAATGTTGAACCTGCGGCACCATTAGCTCCAGTCATATCAGCCCAGGGGTCTACGCCATCGACAGACCTATTGTCGTTGTCGAGTGAGCCTCTAGTAACTCTATCAACAGACACAAATATGGTTATTGTAAGCCCTGATGGATTGACAAGTACTGAGGTCCCTGCGCTGCCTTTCAACATCGCTGATCCGAATCCGAACAATCCTGGCCCACCTCACAATGTTGCTAGCCCGGCTGCATTACAAGAAACCGTACCCAGCGTTGGTTCATCGGCAGCTACGATTACTCCGGCACCAACGCCATTGTTTGCCATGGAGGCAGCGCCAGTACCTCCCACGGTGGCCCCACGAACAGCTAAATTAAAGACGCCCGAGCCAGAAGAGAAGCCAACCCGGCAACTCAAGCTCGAGACTCTAGAGCTTGAACGAGTTCCAATTTCAGTTCGTGTTCTAATAAAAGGCATAGACTGGACATGTTTATCCAATCTCACGATTCTGAACTGTTACGATCATGATCGACTCTGGAAAGCTTTGCGCCAGAAGTTCTCTCCACACCAAAACCCTAACAAATCGACATACCAGCTCCATCATACATCTCCTGGCCATCGATCACGGGGTCTATCGTATCAAGGACCCAGTGACTACAGAATTCGCCTAAAGAAACTCCATACAGATACTGTGACACCTCAACTCCTATATTTTATCAGGGACACCTTACCCCCAAACAGCCTCGAAGTCTTGTTTCTACAAGAAACGCCAAATTTCTTAAGCGCTGTCCCAGCTGAATTTATATATAGAGCAGCGATACGAAGGCATAAAGGAAGTTTGAAGAAGCTGTTGATAGACAGCAATGTGGGAAATGGCGGAGATCATGCTGCAAAATGGATTTTCGAGAAGGAGGTTTTGGCATTTGTAGGCAGTGGAAAAATGCCACAATTAAGGGAGTTAGGAATGGCCATTGATTGGAAGAACTGGGTATTTTCTCTCGTAATATCAGAGCCGATAAAAGTTAGCTAACATTTCGAAGCACTACTTCCTCACACGCCTCCCCTTGATGCAGCAATTACGTTCTCTATATATTCACTACGTCCGTGGCGGCCCTCACATAACTGAGTTTGAGGCAAAAGAGATGGCCCAACAAATCGTCAATACCGTCATTCTTCGGCCTGAGATCGAGCTTTGTTACGTGGGTGTAATGAGCAAATGTTTTGAGCTTCTTGAAGATGGCGGATCCTCAGATGGAATCGATGATCTTTCTGATGTTGACACGGCAATTTCTCCTGGGGTAACACACAGTAGCACGGCACCTGGCACTACGGGTGTACCACCTGGAGCCAACAGTGAAGAAGATGATTCTGATGGTGTTGACGATGAGGACGATGTTGATGAGGATGAGGATGACTATGACGATGCGGATGATGGGGATGAAACAGATACAGACGCCGATGGAGGTGCGGGTGAGAAAGACTCTAGCGAGGATGAGGAATGGGTCAAAGAGAAGTCGGAAAGGGGAGTAAGGGTGAGGCTGAGGGAAATACTGTTTTACGACGATAAGGTAGCGGTGTTTAGGGCTAGAAGTGGGAAGCTGTAAAGTTTGGGGGGTGAACTGAGGACTGTTCGATGCTGGGGTACAGGTTCAAGTGTGTTTTTATCGTGCTACTTTGAAATTTTAACGAGAGGAGATAGGAGCTTTTTATACGAATTCGTGTCGTCGCGTTTTAAGTATTTTTCTTTCTGTTTTTCTTCGTTTTCTCCTAATATTTTGCGCACCAGTTTTTTGTTGCGGTCTTGGACAAATGAACCGATTGCGCATTCTTTCTCTTTTTTTGTTACGCAATAATGAATGACCATGAGAAGATGTAGTATGGAGGGTATGGTGGGGGCATCTGGACCGGCGAATAGGGAGCACATTGATTGTCTTTGCTAAAATTCAGTTCATTTCGTTAAATTTGTTCGGCCTGTCTTTCTATCGAGAGTGAATTCCTGAACAGCTACTTGTAGCCGTACATCAATGTTGGTGTGGTATGTAAATCATTACTACAAATCAGGTATGTACTTACATACATGTAGTCAAAGGACGATAATAAGCCTGGGATATTGATACTAAATCTAAGTGCATGTATAGTTCTAGGACATAAATCATCGTATGGGATGCCATAGTCTATGACTGCATGCAGAGTTTTGTACCTAGAATCAATAAAACTACATGATTTAAAAAAAAAAAAAATCATCGTATGGAGCGGCGTAGCAACGGGTTTCGGCACCTCCCGCCCCATCATGACTACTCACCCAGCAACCACAATTGACCCTTTGGAGAGCTGTTTTTTTGTATAGTTGTTCAATAGTAGCTAAATAAAGATAATTGGACATTTAATATCTTGTATACCAACCCCTTGCCTTTATAACAGCTCTATTCTCCTAGGCATGCTCTCAACTAGCTACCAAATCTCTAGAGAATAAATCATCAGGTAACAGTTCCCAGCAATGAATTAGACCTTCCTCCACGAGGGGCTTCAATACTTAAGGTGATCTAGTATCATATCCCAAATTGGGGTAGTGTTGATGGTAAAGCTTCTTGAGATGTACTCAAACATGTTCAATGGGATTTAAGTCAGGGGAATAGGTAAGCTAGTCCTCCAGAACATCTACCCCACACTCCTCCAACCGCTGAGTTGTAAGGGTTGTGGTGTATACCTTTACAAACTTAATAGTTGTAGGAGCATGGGGTACACTGTCTCTGGGCGCCATCGGTGGTTGTGGAAAAAATTTGTGGTCAGGCATTGCAGTCAGGCGTTGCAGCGTTGCGACCTCACACCTTCCGATGATTTATGGCATCGCGCTGTACATACATTGCCATACTGAAATTGTCAATATACGTACATAGGCAATCTAAGATCTCAGCAGGTGCATACTATGCATGACGTCGTTCATGAATTCAGGTGACTCTTTTCGATCTTGGTCGGCCTTGCCCGGCTCTCGCCTTTCAATTTATACGGAACGATCAAATATTGTGGACCTTTCGCTTCGTACTGGGACAATTTGATGTGCTCTTTAAAACCTCAATTCGCAAAATAATGTTTCAGACGACACATGATTTGATCATAATCGATCACTCGGAATTAGGAGGCCACATTGACTGACTATTATTAAGCAAGTACATACAGCCACGCCTGAAAGATCTACGGTGAACTTTCCTCAAAACGTGTTAGGACACGTGAAGCGTCATGGAGCTGAATTTTTCTCGGACATATCGGGTTACGATGCTGTTTCTCACCAATATCAGGAATAGCACCTTTGATCAATTGAGGGGTCCCGCCATTTTTCGATAGTTGCACCCCTAATTCCACTGGTGGGGTATAGATATAACTACATGTAACTACTTGAGTACTTTACATCTATGAAGTTGTGAAGGGGGTATGAAGGCTAAACATAATATGCATTGATAGCGGAAGCTAAGAGCTTACATACCATACGAGGGACCACGCATCTCTTATACAACACCACCGCTCCCTCGTACAACTGCCCAAAACCATGGCTCCTATAGATTTTCCTAGTATAAATTCGAATCAGTTCACGATCGGTATCGAGATAGAAATGATTATACCTTATTTAGTAAGGCAGAGGCACTTTCGTGGGGATCGCTTTGAGTTTGTTTCTCAGGCTTTAAGGACACTGGCCGATGATATGAAAACAGGAATTGACATCAATGAACTGGTCACGCGCCGCGAAGCCTTTAACCTATTTCAAGTAAAAACCGACGATAGTATCGAATCTGAACACAGTTCAGATGGGCGAATAGAGATCGCAACACCAATACTTAGAAATAAGGCTTGGGACTGGGTGGTTCCCCGGGTGTGCGATAGTATGAGGTGTGCCGCTCAATTTGCTGGAACCCAACTTTCTTTCAACGCGACAACGGGGCTCCACGTTCATATAGCAGTTGCGGATAGGTCGTTCACACTTGCAGAGCTAAGGCGTATATCAAAAGCATTATTTATTTTTGAGAGACATATGTCCCATTTTCATCCCAAAAGTCGAAGGTGTACTGAACTAGGGCCTTTCAGGATGAAGTTATGTCACGACTCTCGACCACTAGTAGGTTTATCAGACGAAGAGGCGCTTTCTTTAATTGACAAGGGAACGAATCTTGAGGAGATTATTTACAACGTCAACGGAATCGTTGCAGCTTTAGCTATGGCCGATGGCGAAAAACCCTGTGAAAATATTCCTTCGAGATACTTCAAATACAACTTTACCACCCTCAATACATACGGAACAATCGAGTTTCGGGAAGCTATAGGAACAGATGATGAGTCCTATATTCTTAATTGGATAAGAACTATCATTAAATTCGTCACGGCGGCTATAAAAACTTCAGATCATTTATTTGTAGAATGGGCCAGAAATGGAATACCGCCTGTCGTGTATTCTGTGTTCGGAGTTCCGAGACCGCCTGGGTATAAAAGGCCGAATGAGCATAATGAAACGGGCCTGCCAGCTCTCCGAACACTTGCTCGTAGGCATAGGAGAAAATAAAATACACCAGGGTTATAGCGAGGAGTTGTATGTCCCGACAACTTAGTCTTTGTTTCGAAGATACTTTAATAGGAATATCCTCTTATCATGAGTAAGGGAGATGTGTAGGAATTTTTATCGACGGATTTTCCGAGAATCCTTTTGGGATCCAGTTTCTGTTATCTGGTCTAGCAGTCATAGCTATTGATAGTGTTCCAGTACATCCTCTGTAATTATAAACCATGGCCAAGATCAAAGCTTGGGAACTTTGGCTCTTCCTTCACTCTCTTGCTATTATAATTACTCTTATACGTATCTGTTTATAAACTAGAACAGTTTGGAGAATATTGCACCGCGCTCGAGCTTGCTGCTCATTCAGACCAGACAACAGCATACAAGGAGTCGAGCCAGGTTAAGATGAAATAGAACAGATATAACAGCTATTCCACTGACAATCCTTTGCATACTCCATTACAGCTATCGGCGTATAAGACCTGGTGTCTTATTTAAGGATCTCTAATCTCGTGCTAAGGCGTGTGGGCGTATTCCGTGCTGGGTCTTGGCACGAGTGATCGTTCGTGACTAACGCCCATTCGGCAACAAGACAAAATGGAGCCCCCAAGGCTGGGGCTGGGTTTTCAGTGCACCCCTGTGGACGCCGTCTTTGCCTATTAATGCCGAACGGCCGCGCGGGCCCTAAGTGTAAATTTAGTTGGGGGAATTGTGTAAACATGTTGACCCAGCTCCCGCTCCCACATTAGCAAGTATGGACCTGTCGGCAAAATGTGGCTTTGGGGGGTCTGGAGGTACATAGTAATGCTTCTTACGTCCATTGGGGGTGTGTTTATTAACCACTGGCGGGCGAAGGCCTTCAGAGGTGCATGGTGAGCGTTTGAGGAGCCGGAGTGGGCGTGAGGTTCTGCTTTGCACGTGCTGGTTCTATGGGTCCGGAAATACATGTCCACATAATCAATGAGTCGAGGATTCAAACTGTATGGCAATTTTCAGGGTCGAGTGTTCCGTAAGTGAAAAATGTAGGAAACATAAATCCAAACAAAAAAATTTGGCATCCCTTTTTCTTGGGGGAGTAGGCTCTTGGCATTTTGCGGTGATTTGGATGTCCACCGCCCATGAGGTCTCTTGCACTTTCTCTGCAACCAGGGCCAAGAATCAGCTATTTAATGCCGCCCGTATGCCCTCCTCCTCTCCTCTACCATTATACATCATCATGTCACCATGACCACTGAAAATCACTGATGTCGCCGATGTCACATGAATCACCAAGCTTAGCACCAAGACCTCCTCGTCTCACCCTTTATAAACCTTTCCCTCCTTGTTTACTGTCCCTCCCCTCGGCCTCCCTAATTTACACTAAGCTGCAATCTCAACCCTCTTAATCCAAACAAAACGAGCAGGACGAGGCTTTGATAGATACCCTCTATACAAAACACCTGGCCGGTGTTGAGTATTGAGAGTACCTGTTTGAGTCTGGTGGCTGCTCTTTCGGTTGGTTTTTGCGGACTGCATTGACTTGTATAAAAAAAGCTTTGGGTGCATTCTACTAAAAAAAATAGTCCCAATTCCGTTCCTTTCTTTTAGGGAGTGAGCACGTTCCAATTAAAGCAGAAAACAAGAGAGAAACACACTGAAAACTGCTCAGGGATAGATCTTTGAAGGGCCAGAACAAAAGGTGCCTGGAGGTTGACCCAGCTTGGGGACATCGATTCCTACAGACAAACACCTAAGGGCTAGGGTTTCCATCACACTCCATCACTCGCACCCCCGGATGTGTCGGGTCCGAACTACGACTCTCGGCCCCGAGGGGGTATGTGCCTATTTCGGGTACCTCGGCTCGGTGATACTCTCTCTGCATTGTTGTGCATGTTGAATGATGCCGCACTACCGGTTGGCAGGGCCAGGGGTACTGTTACCTAGGGCTGGAATGCTTATCGTTGCGCGGTTTAAGCATATTGTATCCCCCGGGATTGGACAGCACGGTCGCGTGTAGAGTAGGGTGCTCCGGGCTCCGAAGCGACAATCGGGTGTGTTCCGAGGGGATTTCAGATGGATGAGGGGGGGCTCCTCTCAGTTTTTGCTCTACATGTATGTATTGTATGTATGTAGTTTTTATTCTACGATTTCTACTGGCAGCTGGAGAGCAGAGTTCTAGACATCTCTCGACGCATTGGGATTGAACGGATAGGAAAAGACCCCTGAATTCTTGGCGGCGGAAGAGCCGCAGTCCGATCTGTGCAGTTGCTGCTTTAGACACTTAGACACTTGCATTTTACTCGATCCTGCTTGCACTCACTCAGCTTGCACTCTTGCACTCATTCTTGCACTCATTCTTGCACTCATTCTTGCACTCAGACAACACCTGCACTCAGACAGACAGACAGACCCTTGTGCTCGTGGCCCAGAGTCACTCTCATCGCTGTCACTCCGTCCCCCTGACCAGTCCAGCCCAGCCAGAGAGGTCCGTTTAGTAATTAATAGTTGTCAGTACTAGGTGCATTTCTCACAACCACTCAACCACAACTACTCAACAACAACCACCACATCACAACCAACCATCCAACAACACTCACTCCTTTGGTTTTTGGGCTTCTAGTAATTAACAACTTCTTTTGGCACGTCTCTTCCCCATATTCTCCGCCCTGTCACTGCATTCACAATGCGGCTGATATCTACTCTCCGCGACATCTTCTCGCTGGAGACACTTGACTCCCGCTTCACCGATGGCACTTTAAAGACCGCTCACGAGAGCCGTGAGAGCAAAAAGGTGCGCGAGGAGGCTGGCCCCGCGCGGTGGAAGACCCCCGAGTTCTTTCTCTACTATGTTGTCTTTGCCATTGCCGTGCCTAGTATGTTCAAGGTTGCAATTGACCTCTCCCAAGGTGCGTATACCCCCCCCATCATCGAGAGGAGGACTGCATTGACCGCCCCCCCCCGCAGAATCGCACCCAAACTACCCCAAATACAAACACCTGCTGTCGCCGGGATGGATCCCTGGCCGCCAGGTCGACAACTCGGATCACCAGTTCCGGTCCTTCCGCTCCAACATGCCGATTCTATTCTGTGTGCTCGCCCTGCACTCTGTTCTCCGCCGAATCTTTGACTACGCCTTCAACACGGCCTTCCCGCCCCCGCCCGTCACCAGCTCCCACCGCGCCTCGCACAACATCACGCGCCGCAATATTTTCGACGTCCTTTTTGCGCTCATCTTCCTGACGGCCCTGCACGCCTTCAGTATCATCAAGATCCTGGTGATCCTGACAGGGAACTACCTTATCTCATTCTTCCACCCCACCTCCATTGCCAACCCAATTCTTACATGGATCTTCAACATGGCCGTCCTCTTCGCCAACGAGTACTGTGACGGCTACCGCTTCGCCACGATTCTCCCCTGGCTCATTGCCGGCGAGGGCGCGGGCGTCGGCGAAGCAATGGACAAGGCCTTTGGTGGTGGCCTGCTTCCGCGCTGGAGTCTCAGCTTCAACATCACGGTGATGCGCCTCATCTCCTACAACCTCGACCACTACTGGGCCGCCAAGCGCCGCGAGGAGGGCGCCGCCGGTGGCGCCGCTATCGAGGTACGTACATTCACAGCCGCCACCACCAGCACCACCCCCCCACCACCGGGGCACCAACATCACCGCCGGCGGAGCGACGAAGAGTCGCGCCGTGTGTCGACGGACCGCGCCAGCGCCGGTGGTGACGATGACGGCGATAACCAGCGGCTGATGGCGGACGTGCAGAAGAAGACGCTAGAGCCCGGGAAGCTCACGGAGCGGGAGCGCATCGACCATCCGGCGAGGTATGAGGACTATGGCTTTTTGAGCTACCTTGCGTATGCGCTGTACTCGCCGCTGTACCTTGCCGGCCCTATATTGACGTTCAACGACTTTGTCTACCAGGTAACCCCCCCCTTTTTTTCTTCTCTTCCCCGGCGAACCCCTACTAACTATCGTACAGCAACGCTACCCCTCCTCCACCATTGGCTTCACCCGCCACGTCCTAAAATACGGCCTCCGTCTCCTTTTCACAATTCTCACCATGGAGGTCATCCTGCACTACACCTACGTCGTCGCCATCTCCAAGACCGCCAGTCGTGGCTCCTGGGCCGGCGACACCCCCGCGCAGCTGTCAATGATCGGCTACTTCAACCTGCACATCATCTGGCTCAAGCTCCTCATCCCATGGCGCTTCTTCCGGCTGTGGAGTCTCCTCGACGCCGTAGACCCGCCGGAGAATATGCTGCGCTGCATGAGCAACAACTATTCGGCAGTCACCTTCTGGCGCGCATGGCATAGATCGTATAATCGCTGGACCGTCAGGTATATCTATATCCCCCTCGGCGGCGCGACGCGGCCCGTGCTGGGGATGGTCGTGGTGTTTACGTTTGTGGCGCTGTGGCATGATTTGAGCTTTAAGCTTCTGATGTGGGGGTGGATGGTGGTGCTGTTTATACTGCCGGAGCTGGTGGCGCGGCGCATTGTGACGAAGAGGAGGTTTGCGGGGAGGGAGAGGTTGTATCGCAATTTGTGTGCGCTGGGGGGCGTCGCGAATTGTCTCATGATGATGGCGGCGAACTTGGTGGGGTTTGCGATTGGCGTGGATGGGTTGAGGGATTTGATGAGGGGTGTGTTGGGGGCGTGGGAGGGCGGCGTGTTTATGATGGTTGTGGGAGGGTGCTTGTTTGTGGGGGTGCAGGTCATGCTGGAGGTGAGGGAGGAGGAGGCGAGGATGGGGGTTAATTTGAAGTGTTAGTGTGGCGGGGACGAAAGGTAGGTAATTATGTAGTTAGTGGTTGGTGGTTAGTAGTTGAAATTGGTTGGTAGGTAGGTAGAAAGGGCGTTCTTTTAGCTTGGTGCTTTTTAGTTGTTTATATTTTTTTTAGTATTCTTTTATTCTTCTTTCTTCGTGGTTTTGAATGCGGTTATATTATACTAGCATACGAACGCTGGATGTTAGATAGCGGCCTTGTCTGGTGCGTTTATAGCGTGCGGTATCCTTTGGTCTCTGTGTCACGTAGGGTTTGGCGCGGGGATCTGTGGTGTGTGGGGATTGGGGGGGGGGGGTATAGGTTATGGAATAATGGAGGGGGGGGGGAGTAATGAGAATATATTGCTTTCTCGTCTGCTTTGGTCTGTCTGGTCTGTCTGGTCTGTGTGGATGTGTGGAGGGTATAGCCGTATATGGATCTGTTGTGATGGGGGTGAACTATATTGGTAGCTGGTAGTTGTGGTGTTGGGGACCTAGAGTTGGGGGGTTGGGAGTCGAGGTGGACTAGAGGAGGGAGGTAGTTGCACTCATGGCATATCACTCGTCTGTGTCTTGGCACAACGTTCGACACGCATTTTTGTCCAGCACCGAGCGCCCAAGTAGAGCCAGCGGCCAGGTGAAGACGGTTCGTCCCAGTATAAACCATCTATACGCGACAGTGTTACCACAGAGCAGTACCACAACCTCCATAAAATCTCATTTGTGCCACTAGGAGCCGCCCTCTGTGTAGGGGTGTAGGTATGTACCCACACCGGACCCCACAGTCTCCCTGTCTGCTTCTGGAGAGCAGCATTCAACGTATGGGAGCTCTACATACATCTAGTCACGGGATGGATTAGGTTGTGTCTTGGCGTTGGCTGGTTGGTTGGGTCATTCATTGTGTATCACTCGCCTGTATATGGCTACATTAGTACAGTCACTGTCGGCTGCGTCTATTCGTGCGTCTGGGGATTGCGAGCGCGAGGGGTGTGTGTGTACTGGGCGTATATAAATACCATTTGGCGTAGGTATCCCATTATAATAATAATGAGCTCACTACCCAGTGGGCTGTAAGTGGAGCCTGTGAATACTTGGGCCGGGGATGCGATTAAATTGTAGTCTCACAGAAACAGCGTTGGGGGCCTGCAGCCTAGCGCATTGGTTGGCTGGTTTCTGCATCCAAATGATGGCAAAGTTCATAACTAAGACCTCTCGCGGGTCTACATCCACCCACATGCTAGCTAAGGACTACCTACAGCTAACCACCGCCCAACAAAACAAAGCCAATTGATTGATTACACCACCCCATATCTAAAAAAAACAGTAACAACAAAAAGAAACACCCATAGCGCCAGCCAATACCCTTTCTCCTGCATGCAGACTACCCATCCTCCACGCTGCTCCCAAAGTCCACCAGCCGCAGCCTGCGGGCGTCCTTGGGATGGAACGCCGCAACCTTGGCCCTGACGAGGAAGCGCACGATTGCTGTGTCTTGCTTCATGGGGATGTAGGGGTCGTTCTCGAGGGAGGCGTTCATTAGTGACTGCCCACACGGCACACATTAGCACACTCACTCATGGTGGTAGGGGGAGAATAAAAGCTTACCTCAAGCACCTCCATAAAGTCCCTCGCCATCCTCTTCTCTGGCTCCTCCCCCGCCTCCCCCTCCTGCCCCCACATCTCGTCAATCCTCCTCTCCCCTTTCTCGTTCCCCTTGCCCTTCTCCCCCCCCCCTCCGCACCGCCCTCCTCCACAACTACATCCCCCACCACCCCTCCCCCCACCTCCTCAGCAAGCAACATCCCCGCCAGAACCCCGCCCACAAACCCCCTCACCTCCCTCAACACCCCCGCCGTCCTCCTCCCCACCTCCTTCCGCCGCTTCACCATCTCCGCCACCCCCCTCCCACCCCCCTCCCCCTCCCCCTCCCCCTCCTCACGCTCCAACCTCCGCACCAGCGCCTCGGTAATAGCCCGCTGCTGTCCCAGCTCGGCGGCTTCACGGTCCAGTGTTGCGGCGGCGGCGCTGATTGCGGCTTTTACGGTGACGAGCGACTCGGCGGTGCGCGAGGTGACGAGCAGCACGGACCGGTAGGCGAGGAGGAGGTTGAGTGGGGAGGCGGCGGGCGGGAGGTGGTCGATTGTGGCGAAGGTGGTGTCGTGGGCGGTTTTGCGCGCGCGGAGGGTGCGGAGGTGGGTTTTGGGGGATGGGGGGGTGTTGGGGGAGGGGGTGGTGGTGGGGGAGGGGAGCTGCTGGCGTAGGGTGGAGATGGAGAGTTCTTGGTCCATGATGAGGCGGCGGAGGGATTGGATCTCGGTGGTGAGGGCGGTGGAGGGGGTGGTGGTGGTGGTGGTGGTGGTGCTGGAGGGGAGCGGGGCGAGGGAGTAGTGGCGCAGGGCGGCGAAGTTGGCGGGGGCGGGGCGGGGGCGTTTTGGTGGCATTGCGGCGTGCGGTGTGCGGTGGTGGGGGACTCGGGGGAGGTGCGGCTCTGGGAGGGTGCGGGGGATTGGACGGTGGGAGGTGGGTGAGAGGACTTTTATGGGAGGGTTTGGAGGTTTGTTGTGTTGGTTGGTCAGACACACAGTGCTGGAATCCGAGACAGGGTATGTGTGTGTGTGTGTAAAGTCATTTCATTTCTGATTCTAGGTACATACATGTAGGGGCCTCCCCACCCTTCAATTCTTTATTCAAGACCACGAACATTTCAGGGAGGTACACTATGAATGAACATATACTTCAAGAGATAGGTCTGTTGACCAGATATGTGTATAAGTATTCAAGGTTGTGCTGTAGGTTTAGTTTGAAAAGGGCGGGGAGTTTACAGCTGATAACAGTGATTTCCTTCAGCAATAAACGCGTATATAATTCTGTGGAATGAAGATTCTTCCTTTCCTTCAATAAACGTGTATATAATTCTGTGGAATGAAGATCCTTCAATAAACGCGTATATAATTCTGTCATCCCAATTCCACTTTACACCACAACCGCCAAGCCTCAGATCACGTGCCCCCACCCAAACACGAAACTCTTCACCGCGTCTACATATCATATCGCCCCTCCTCCTCCTTCTTCCCACAAACAACAACCACCACCGCCTAATGCACCACCACCCTCCGCCGCCTCTATGAACACAAAACACAACCTCGGACCGCACCTAACCTGGCTCCGACGGGAACGTCCGCAGATTCCGCCGCCGCGCACCACCACCGCTGCCGCCGCACCCATAGCGCTACTGCCCCCGGTGCTGACCGCTGAGGAGAAGAAGGGCCTGCAGAGAAGGAAGAAGCAGCAGGAGGAGGAGCTGGACAGAGACGCACAGGAGCAACTGGAAGAGCAGGAGCAACTGGAAGAGCAGGAGCAACTGGAAGAGCAGGAGGAGATGGCGAGGCTGCAGATGGAGCAGGTGAGGAGGAAGAGGCTCACGGCGGGGAGGAAGGCTGGGACGTCGACGCCGACGGGGACGCAGGTGCCTAGGACGGCGGCAGCAACGGCGGCGAGAACTCCGGGGTTGAGTGCGAGTAATTACCCCCCACTAACTCTTCTCCTGTGATGGATATGGAGTGAACTGTTACTGAGAGGCTGTGTGTACTACAGATAACGCACCATCCTCCTCCTCCTCCTCCCGCCCACCGTCGACAGCACGCCCGCCGCCACAGCCAAAACACGTACTAATGGACATCGACACCATCGACCTCACACTCGACGACAACGAGCCCGTCTACATCGGCCGCACCCCCACCACCGTCAAGCCCACCACCACCGCCAGCGCCGCCGCACCACAGAAAATACCTGCCCCCACACCACTACCAGGCACGCAGCGGACAGTACCACCACTGACGTCGACATCGACGCCGCTGTTCAGATACGACGAAGCCATGGACGGCGGCAGCAGCTCCAGCAGACAGCCCTCCCCCGTCCGCCGCACAACGAATAAACGCAGCTCACTGGAGTTTGAGGACGGAAACCCCCAGCACGGGGTCCCGTCGAAATCGCCGCGCACGCAGAGGCGCTCGACGCCGGAGAGGAGGCAGGGTGCGGTGGAGGTGATGGAGGTGCCGTCGGACCCGCCGCCGCCGTATGAGAGGAGTGTGGAGATGGGTGGTGGCGAGCTGGACTATCCGGACTTGTCGCAGGTGATGCAGCCGGTGTTGAAGCCCGTGACTGCGTCTGTGCCCGCTGCTACCACCTCGAGTAGGAGGAGGGGGGCAGGCGTGGAGGAGCAGCAGGTAACGACGAGGGTGGGGAAGCTGCGGAAGTCAAAATCTTGTGGTGCGCGCAATGGGACTATCGAGATCACAGAGGAGCAGGAGGAGGAGGTGGTCCGTAAGAAGAGAAGAACCGTCAAGATCACAAGGGACCTGACACAGGGCGAGACATGGCCGCCAAAACCGACCATCTCCGAGAGCGAGCGGCTGAAAAAGACTCGCGCTGATAACACAAAGTCCCCGTCAAAGAGGAGAATGAGACGGGTGGTCCCCAGCTCGGATCAAGAGGACTCGGACGGAGCACTGTCGATCGAGGAGCCCGACGAGGATGATCATGGAATGGGACGGAATATGGATACTAGACTCGACGAGATTGCGCTTCTCGAGGTCGAGGGAGGCGGGGACGAACAGCCCTCGCCGCCGTTTGAGCCGGAAGCAGATGACGATGAAGACTATGGCGCCTCAGACCTGGACCTCACGGAAGCCATCGCACAAGCCGACTCATCCAGCCGCGGCCCCGCATCCTCAATCCCCCCCCCAATCCCCCCGCACACACAAGACCGCCGCCGGCCCCATCCTCCGCGCGACGAAGCATCACCGCTCCAGCGCGACAGCCCCACAAAGCTCTCCGGCGTCCCAAAACGCACAGCAATCCCGCCAACCCCGCGCTCAGACCGAACCAAGAAGAAGGCCCGCACGGGCACCGCAACCGGCACCGACAGTACCGACAACGACGACGGCCTCGCCGGCTACGACCTGGACAAGCTAAAGAAGATGCTCCCGGAGGCTACGCGGCTGAGTTATGCCAAGATGGAGGAGGTGTCGGACTATAACGCCGACGGCGCGATGCCGCCGATGGCGCTCGTGCAGGAGTCGGCGGCGCTCAGGAGGAGGGTGAAGGCGCTTGAGGCGCGCATTAAGGCGCTGGAGGCGGCAGGGGGAGAAAGGGGGACGAGTGTGTGTGTTGAGGCGACGCAGCCGGTGGTGCCAGAGACGCCGACGAGGAGGCGCGCGGCGTCGCAGGTTGTCAGGCAGACGCAGTATGTGCCCAGTAGCCCTACTATCAGACGGCAGGAGGAGGAAGAAGGGGTCGAGGACGACGACGACCGCGATATGTCGCTGATGGAGGCGTGGGCGTCGCCGAGGAGGCTGCAGAGGGCGGCGAAGAGGGATGCGTTTATTATTGGGATGGGGTCGCCGCCGCCGCCGCCGAGCCCGTCGGCGTGGGAGTCGCCGAAGAGGAGTAGGAGGTCGCCGGTGAAGAGGGGCGGGTATGAGGACTCTGATGTGCCGCCGGAGCCGGCGCTGCAGAGCGATGGGAGCGATTATGGCGAGGACTTTGATGTGGAGGAGATGGTGGAGGAGGAGCAGCAGCAGGTGTTGGCAACGTTTAGTCGCCAGGAAAGGACGGTGACGGGTTTTAAGGGGAAGATGGCGGCGGGATTCAGTACCTCGACGAGTAGCAGACAGGAACATCACCATCACCAGCAGCAGCAGAGTTTTGGGAACACGGTCAGTAGTTATATGAAGCCGGCCAAAAAGACGCCCTCACACAGGCTCAGCGAGATTGTCATCAGCGACGACGATGATGATGATGAAATCCAGCTCGTCCAGGCCCAGAAGAGCACATCATCAAAAACCGCCGCAAAGCCACGAGCACCGCTCACAAGAACATCCGGCAACTCCCCGCCCGAGCCCCGCACAATCAACAACGTCCTCGGCCGCTCCACCACCACCCAGCAGCAGCAGCAGCAGCAGCAGCCCTGCAGCAGCAACCAGACACCGCAAAAGTCCCAGATCGCCCCCGCAGGCCCCCACGCCCGCCTGCATGTCCAGCGCGCCGCCACAATCGACATGAGCAGCCCGGCCATGCGGCACCCGTGGTCGCGCGACGTCGCGGACCAGCTCCGCCGCAGATTCAACCTCAAGGGCTTCCGCAACAACCAGCTGGAGGCCATCAACGCCACGCTCTCGGGCAAGGACGTGTTCGTGCTCATGCCCACGGGCGGCGGAAAGTCGCTCATATACCAGCTGCCCGCCGTCATCAGCTCCGGCAAGACGCGCGGCGTCACGGTCGTGGTGTCGCCGCTGCTGTCGCTCATGCAGGACCAGGTCGACCATCTGCAGAGGCTCAATGTCATGGCGTTCTACATCAATGGCGAGATCAGTGAGATGCAGAGGGGCGTGCTGTATGATTCGCTCTACCACCAGGATGTGGAGGAGATGATACAGCTGCTCTATATCACCCCGGAGATGATCGCGAAGAGCGACAAGATGGTGAATACGCTGGTGCACCTGCACCGCCGCGGGAAGCTGGCGCGCGTGGTCATTGATGAGGCGCACTGTGTCTCGCAGTGGGGGCACGACTTTAGGCCCGACTACAAGTCGCTCGGACAGCTGAGGGACAAGTTTCCGGATGTGCCGTGGATCGCGCTGACGGCGACGGCGACGAAGAAGGTGCAGATGGACGTCACGGCGAACCTGCGCATGCCGCGCTGCGAGGCGTTTCAGCAGAGCTTCAACCGCCCCAACCTCCACTACCAGGTGCTGCAGAAGGGGAAGGACATACTGGACAGGATTGTCGACATCTGTAGGCAGCCCAAGTATGCGAATAAGACGGGAATCGTGTATTGCCTCTCGCGCGCCAACTGCGAGCAGACCGCGGAGAAGCTGCGCGCCCGTGGCATAAAGGCGCAGCATTTCCATGCGGGCCTGGCGGCGGAGGAGAAGGTGAGGCTGCAGAAGGGGTGGCAGGCAAGGCAGTTTAATGTCATTGTGGCGACTATCGCCTTTGGTATGGGTATTGATAAGCCCGACGTGCGCTTCGTGATCCACTACACTGTCCCCAAGAGCCTCGAGGGGTACTACCAGGAGACGGGCCGCGCAGGCAGAGACGGCCTCCCCAGCGGCTGCTTCCTCTTCTACAACTACGGCGACACGGGGACGCTGTACCGCATGATCAAGGACGGCGACGGCAATGCGGACCAGAAGCGGCGCCAGATTGAGATGCTGCAGATGGTGGTGCAGTACTGCGAGAATAAGGCCGAGTGCCGCCGCGTGCAGGTGCTGCGCTACTTTGGCGAGAACTTCCCGGAGGACCAGTGTGACCGCGGCTGCGACAATTGCTGCTCGGGCATCGAGTATGAGGATGTGGATGTCACGGACATGGCGGTCGCTGCGCTGAGTGTGGTGTCGCAGCTGAACGAGAAGACGCTGCTGTACTGTATTGATGTGTTCCGCGGCAGCGCGAGTAGGGCGCATAAGGATAGTGGGAGCCATGAGCTAGCGGGATATGGCGCGGGGAAGAAGTGGGATAGAAGTGATTGTGAGAGGCTGTTTCATTATCTGGTCCAGATTGGAGCCGTCACGGAGGAGCATGTGCAGAATAAGGCCGGGTTCTATGTCAGCCATGTCTACGTGAGTATCTATTTTTCGTCTCAACTTTTTTTCTGTGCTAAAGGGAGATCACCATACTGACGGGTCGCTCGCTCCCTCGATAGTTGAACAACGCAAAAGCAAACCCGATCCTCCAGGGCCGCCGTGCAATCTCGATGGCCTTCCCCAAGAAGGCCGCCGCCGCGGCAGCAAAGCGGACAGCATCAAGCCACACGACGGCCTCGGCGCTCGAGGTCCAGAGCATCCGCAGCCGCTACCAGTTCAAGGAGAACGTGACGAAAGTGCAGCGCACCCGCCACTACGAAGCCGAAGCCGAAGAGGAAGAGGAGGAATTTGGCGCCGGCGGTAGCGAATATGAGCTTGACGGGTTTGTGATCAATGACGACGACGAAGAAGAGGAGGACGATGAGCAGCCTGACAGCCTCGGATTCATGCCTGTGCGCCAGGGGGGGAGCAAGAAGCGCTTCTCGGGGCAGAAGAAGAAGAAGATGGGAAAGCCGATCACGGGGGATCCGGAGCTCGAGGGGTATGATTCGTATGCGCTGGACATCATGGAGCGCTTTGTGGCGGACGCAAAGAAGCTGCGGCAGAAGATCATGGAGCGGAAACAGCTCGAGAGGATTGAGAGCGTCTTTACGGACAAGGTCCTACGAACCATTGGCCTGCGCCTCCCACGAAGTAACTACCCCCCCCCCCCCCTTTTCCTGTGCATATCATGATCCCAAAAAATCGATAACTAACAAAGCCTTCCCCCCACAGCACTCGACGAGCTCCGCGCAATCCCAAACATCGCAACCGACAAAGCCGACCGCTTCGGCGCCTCCTTCCTCAAGATCACCGCGCCGCTGCGCGAGGAACGCGAAACAAATATGCAGGGCGCAGACCTATCGCAAGTGCCCGCGCCCGCGCATGTCACCACCGACGACGACAACGGCAGCGAGTACGACGAAGACGAAGACGACGGCGACGGCGATGGCGGCGGCGGCGGCGGAGATGAGATCGGCGCGGAGACGGGCGATAGGTCGGGATACTTTGCGGCGCAGAGCGAGTACTTTAATCCGCCGAAGATGTCGCAGGCGCAGCAGGCGATGATGGAGCAGGTTGCGAATGCGGCGCGTACTGGTGGTGGTGGGGGCGGGAGCGGGAGTGCGAGTAGTGCGGGGGCGGGGCGAGGCCGAGGAAGAAGGGGTTTGGGGGGAGGGGCGGGAGGAGGAGGAGTGGTGGCCCGCAGAGGAAGCAGGCGGGTGCGGCGAAGAAGAGCTCTGGTGGAGCGTCCCAGGCGGGTGGGAGTAGGGGTGCGAGTAGGGGTGGGAGTAGGGGTGGGAGGAGCGGGGGGAGTGGTGGGGGGAGTAGTAGGGGTGGAAGTGGGGGTTGGGGTGGAGGTGGAGGCGCCTTTGGTGGCGGCGGCGGCGACGGGGCTTCGAGGATTAGACAGATGTCGTAGGAGAGCTAGGGTGTACTTTTTTTAACCTTTTTTTTTCTTTACGCTTCTTCTCTATGCTGCCTTTTCTCTGTGTTGGTGTTTTATCGTGTCTTTTTTTTGTTATTATTATAGTATTACATGGCTCTGGGTTTTGTATGGGAAAGGACGGGTCTGTTTGTTGAGGTTGGCTGGCGTTTGTGAATACCTTTTTTTTATAATTGACTATGTATGTCCTAACTATTCCTCTTTCACTTCCTCTTTCTCTTCTCTCTGTCTTTCGCTCTTCTATTCTCTCCGGAAATGTAGGTTATGTCCTGGTGTAGTATGGTGTGGGGTTGTGTGATGCGGGGTGGGGTGGGGTGGGGTGGGGTGGGGTGGCCGTGGGTTTTTTCTTTAGACGTAAACGTGGATTCATCATGATTGTGTTATATGTATGCTTAACTTATATAGAGGCCGGCAGTGGCGGCAGCGGGGGTATTAGTATTAGTATTATATTAGTATTGCTGTTACCTATTGTTACTTGGTATACATGAGGGGTTGTGATTCGGTTTAGTTATATTCTGCTTTCTGAAGGGCTAAGTAGTTATCCTTTCCTGAAGATCTACATATTTGGGTAATCCAAAATTGATATATAAAACTGTAGCTGTATGTAGTTCTGGCAGTGTCTATTGTCAGAGCCATGTATGGCTATGGCGACACCTTTTTAACTCCAGTTGTGTTCCGGTCTCGGGGGCAGTTCTTTGTCTCAGCATGGCTAATGGAATATTCTCTGGTGGCAAGAGGACCGAGAGGCTTTGTCAATTATATCTATCCAAACACCTGCTCCCTGATCGAACCCGCATTCCTTATCGTGTGCATGAATCAATTTCGGTGCGGAGTCACTGGATATCACTCGGCACCATGGGCGCTCAAATCAGGCTGCCCAACCCAACCAGTGGACTTATGGGTAAATAGCAGAAAAACATGTTTCTCTTATCTATGAGAGCCTTGTGTTGGTAGGACATGCAGTTGTTAAGACCGCAGTTCTTCGGAACAAATATGCCGAGAATTTGTCTCGAAAAATAGGCCAAGACAAGCTAAGAAGCACCCCAAGGTAATGGTCTTAGTTTCATGTTGTAGAATGATCGCTGACTGCGAGAGATGCCGGCGTGACTGGTAGGAGGTGCAGTTTGTATTAAGAGTATCGTTTTATACTTCGAACTTAAAGACCCGAGACTTTATCGAGGCCTCGTATATTGACAAAGACAATATGTAGCTGGCAGATTTCCGAGACTAGATAAGGCTATGCTCAATCATTCGAGCCTAAGGAGCTGGAGCCATTATTAATGGCTTGATTTTGTTGACAATAAGCCATACAAAACCGTCGGCTTTGATGTTTTGCGATGTGTTTTACCGTCGAATGGTATCCGTAGTGCTGATTCGTGTGAATGAGTACTGGCTCGCTAAACCTTCTTGCGCATATCGAGCCACATGCAAGCGGAAACTGGTTCTGAACAGCATATAGTATTGTGTCGTAAATGAGTCCGAAAATACCTTCTGGGAACCTGGATCCGCCATACCGTGCGGCAAACAGAGACCCTAACTAGGACCTGGAATCGTAATGTAGCGAGAACCAATAATGGATAATTCAACACTGAGCCTTGCTACCCCGCCCCCCCCCCCCCCCCCACCCCGTACCCCAGGATCCCATAGCCAAAACTAAGCATAAGTCGAGGACAAGAAACAAGTATGATACCGATTCTATAAGTGCTAAATCTGATGGAGAAATGTTTGTTAATGCTGGTGAGATCGGATGGTTGATGGCCAATGGTGAAGCTGTTGATGATTGTTGGAAGGGGAAAGAAAGAAGAGGCAGCCTATTAAACGTGCTTCTTGGGTGTCTGTACGTAGGTTTGCGTGTGAGAGTCGTGGTCTGGTTACCCAGCCCTCAAACACCAGGCTTAGGCTGAATCATGTAGTATCACTCGTGCCAAGGATGGCCCCAAGGTGTAGGAATCGATACACACTCTCTACAAGATTTCGTTCACTCTCTCTTCATCTTACCCCCCTCCCTTCCCTCTATCCTGCTCGAGAATAGGCGCCAGTTCTGCGAACCCCCCACACGCACCAACCTATATCCTCATTCAAGACCTCCAGTTGGAGAGTAATGGCCACTGTGGAGAGATTTTCTAGCCCGTTCAATGGAGAGCGGAACAAAAGAGCCGGGCCTGAGCTAAATCCCCACCTTCACTCGAAGCCTCTCTTCACATAATCTAGACACAAATATACCCAGCGGTGAACTGTCCCGAGTTCTGAGCCCACTCATTCTTCTCCCCAGTTATCTCTCTTGTGCTCCCCTCTTCCATACTCACCTACCATTGAGCCTTGCCTGCTGTACAGGGCACTCAAACAGCATCATCTATCTGCTGTCTACTAATCGTTATAGGAGCTTGTGCCAGATTTGATATGTACCGATACATTAAGTCGCTCTTTGTACAAACGTACTTCATGGGGTGGGGGGTATTTGAAACATCGCCGTACATGTAGCCAGAAAGGTACATGGGGGGTGGAATCTTGTGTTTATTTTCAAGCCTTTTAGAGTGAGTTACTGGGATATATCTAGGGGCCGTGGGATTCAGATGTTTGCTATGTTTTGACGGGGGCGTTGGGCACATGACAGAGTGGTGGCCGGTGACTTGCAGCCAGTGGGTGGTGGGGTGTAAAACGAGCGAGGTCATTGGGGAATGATCAGTACCTGCTGACAGACCAGGTTAGCGGCGACAGCCAATCAATGGAGATGTAATCCTGGAGATGTAATCCAGGAGATGTCCATCCTATCTAGAAGCGCAGGATACTTCTCATTATATTGGTACGGGCAGGTGGACACTCATCGAAGGGTCTACTCACCCTGTCGAAGCATCTGACCCCAGAATTGAAGACCAGGAGACTAAATGCAAATCCCCCTATGAGAAAATGTCAAAACCCCACACCCCATACACAGCAGCACGCAATTCTATGCCGAGTGATACACCATGATGCATTATCCTATTCAATACTTCGATACCCAATCAGCACATCGTAGAAAGCAGCCATATATATGCCAACTTACAATTCATAACTCACCTACCTTCCCTGGCATCCCCACCGCCCACCAACCCCCTCCCGTTAGACCAAAAAATGGAGACGCACCGCCTGTACATCTCCCTACCACCGGCAACCCTCACACCGGCGCAGGTATGTGCATACCCAGCGCCAATAATGTATACAGAAGCGCGGACGTCAAATGTACGTGACGAGAGCGGGGCACAGACGCCGGAGAGGCAGGTGTGGTGGGTTATAGGTGATGATGCGGCAGCGGGGCCCGTTAAGGGGAGGAGGAGGAGGAGGGCGAGGAGGTGGGTTAGGGATGTGTTTTGTTTGTAGGTAGTAGAATTGTTGGTTATGTATTTTTTAAGAGAGAGAGTTATGACGACGAAGAGGAGGGTGGTAGGGTGGTGGTGAACTGCTAAAGGGATTTCTTTATGAATTAGTAACTATATATTTAGAGCCATAAGGGTTCCCGCCAATTCGATTATTTATACCTTTGAAAGGTCAAGCATCCATGATTCGGTTGATGTTTCGTCTCCGGCGTGCATGGCCAGCTCCCCGAGAAAAGATGTTGCGTGTTGGCGGTAGTGCATTCAGGAAAGCTGCTCGGTGTGGGTCAGATAGGGCAAGGGTTTAATTATTGCCCGGTTCTGCGTCTGTGACCCGCTGGGAAGTGTTGACAAATTGCTTGATTTTACAGATCAATTATCTGATCTGGGCTAAGATCCGCTGTGAATTTGCGTCTTTAATATTAATGTCCTCTAGGCTACGAAATTTAAACTGGCCAGTGTGTAATTAGCTTCGATCCATAGATCTTTCAGTATTACCAAAATTTGCCATGACTGTCAGCGGCGTCTACTCAGCTGTGAAAACTGACCTCGATTGCGTCGTATAAAGATGGAACTTCTAGTGATCCTATTAATTTCATTACCGTCTCTCCTGTCATTCGATAGACTCTATATATGTCGTTTGGTATCCCACTGCTTATCGGCGTTATCTTATCTAATCAGATGCCGTGTTACCCTCCTCCGCCCTCCGCGCGTGTGAGCTCCACAATCTGGTGCCACAGCCACTGACTGCCACAGCAGCCAGGCCCCACAACACAACGCGTTCCCTCAAGAGCTTGAAGAAACGATCCACAGCGCCGAACCCCCCCAATCTCTCCACAACGCTGAACCCCCCCAATCTCTCCACAACATTCACGAAATCATGTCCCATCTTCACCAGACACTCTCCTCGAACCAGGCGCCCTCAACGGTCGAGTATGGAGGAGGTACATTGCATTACATTCCCGCAAAACTCACAGCTACTACTAGAGATTCATCTCAGAAACTAACAAACGCACTCCACAGATGAGATCTCTGCCATTGTGCTAGACCCAGGCACAGCGTGGACCCGCGCTGGCTTTGCCGGTGAAGACACACCCAAGAGCGTCATTCCCAGCGACTACGGAGTCATCGATGCCGTCGGCGACGAGCCCCGCAAGCTGTTCATCGGCGACAACGACGTCCACGCGATACGGCCTGGCATGGAGATCCGGAATCCCATGAGCGACGGCATAGGTGCGGCCCCTACCCGTGACATTGAGTACGTACCCACTGACAATTCCCCCCCCCCCCCCCGCGCGCAGTTTCGGACTGGGACACAGCGCCGCTTCTCTGGCGCGCAGCCATCACCTCCCGCCTGACCACAACCCTCGCCGAGCACCCCCTCCTCATGACCGAGCCCTCCTGGAACCCGCCCAAGAACCGCGAAAAGACCATCGAGATCGCCTTCGAGGACTTCGACGTTCCCGCCTTCTACCTCGCCAAATCCGGCGTCTGCGCCGGCTTCGCCTCCGGAAAAGCCACGGGCCTCGTCATCGACGTCGGCGCATCCAACATCTCCATCACGCCCATCCACGACGGCCTCGTCCTGCGCAAGGGCTGCACTCGCTCCCCGCTCGGCGGTTCCTTCCTCTCTGACCAGATCCGCGCCTACTTTGCCTCCGCCGCCATCCCGCTCACCGCGCACTACCAGGTGCTGTCGAAGAATGCAGTCGAGGCGTGGAAGCCCGCCGACGCAGTCTACAAGACCTTTGCACCTGGCCAGGAGCCAACGGACTCCTACAAGCGCTTCCAGGAGGAGCGCGTCCTCACCGAGTTCAAGGAGTACACCGCGCAAGTGTGGACCGGCCCGGGGCCCCTCCCGCCCTCTACGGGCGCACACGACGCTGCGACGTCCCTCCTCTCGACGACAGGCCGCCCGTTTGAGTTCCCAGACGGCTACAACCTCGTCTTCAACTCGGAGCGCCACCGCGTCGCGGAGGGGATCTTTCATCCGCCGTCGATGCTGACGAACTACGCTGGCCACCCGGACCCAAGCAGCACCCTGGGCCTCAACGCGCTCATCCACGCGTCGATGAAGGACGTGGATATCGAGCTGAAGCAGCTCATCCTTAACAATGTGGTCATCACGGGCGCGGGCTCCCTCGTATATGGATTCACGGACCGCGTTAATGCGGAGATTGCGGCTGCGTTTCCGGGCCCGAGGGTCAGGGTTATGGCGGCGGGGAATAGCGTGGAGAGGCGCTATGCGGGCTGGTTGGGGGGCAGTATTTTGGCCAGCTTGGGCGCGTTTCATCAGTTGTGGATTAGTAGGAAGGAGTATGATGAGCATGGCGCGGGGATTGTGGAGAAGAGGTGTAAGTGAGGGGTGTATGGTGTGGTGCGGTGTGGTGTGGTGGGTGTAGTTTTTTAGTATGTAGGTAATTTTATTGTTTGGTGTTTTTTCTGTTTTTTTTTTTTTTTTTCGTCTTTGGCTTTGGCTTTGGATTTTGGTTTTGGCGGTTGTGCTGCTGGATCGAGCTTGCTTTGTGTGTGCTTTGTTTGATCATTGCTTAGAAGCATGGTTTTCGGTGGGCCGGGGGGGTGAAAAGTAATAGGAGCAGTGCCTGATTCGAATTCTGATTCCATTCACAATAGTACTGCTACTGTCTACTACCCTTTTTCCTACGTATAAAGCCCCAAACCCCAACATTCCTTAGGAGTAGCATACAAGAGGAGAGAGAGAAAATAATACCCACCGAGTGATTTTATATGATGAACCGCCACCAACACCCCATTTTTTTTTTTGGCTCTATATACAAGTTTACAACAACCACGCCCACCGTACCACACCTAAATAATGAAATGATATCCCGTACGCTCAAAATGCAACAAAAGTCCCGTCTACATCGTCAGACCTATAGGCAAGCAACAACCCAAGAAGTTTTATACAAAAAAGCCAACCAGCCAAAAAAGAAACAGCAACAACTAGACCCCCCCCCCCCCGACCTTTCCCCGCTCATGATCAATCAGGAATAAAAAAATTACAAGGGGAGAAAAAGAGAGGGAGAAAAACAATATACATACACACGGGGTCCATTATACACAAGAAGCCACAAAAAAGAAAACAGATTACCACTGCGCATCCGGCCCCCTAATCTTCTCCAACCACAGCTCCACATCCCGATACCCCACCGACCTGTCCCGATCCCTATGCCGCCTCCGCTCCTTGCGCAGATCCTCACACCTCTTCAAGATCATCGCCACCTCCTCCGCCTTCTTCGTCCCCGCCTGTCTCTTGACAGCCTGGATCACCCATCGCTGCCGCGCGCTGTTGATGCTGACAGGAATACCCTCCCTAATCGTTCTCTGGACTGCTGCAACAGCAATTGCCAGCCCCATCGTTGGTCCGGGGGCGTAGCCAAGCTTCAGCATTGTCCCGTAGCAGATGTGCACCCAGCGCTGACACTGCCTTGCCGTCAATGCGGGGGAATTTGCGAATTTCCAGGCCATCGCGAGGAGGAGGCGGCGTTTTGGGAGGCGGCGGGGCGCGAGGCACGGCTGGTCGGGCGTGAAGGGGAAGACGTTGGGGCGGGTGAGGAAGCGGTATGCGGCGAGTGCGAGGTGGGGGTGTTTTGACGCTGTGGAGGCGATGAAGGCGGCGAAGACGCTGTATTGGGATTTTGCGTAGATTTTGAGGAGCGAGAGGGCGCTGGAGGGGTGCGTGGGGGTCAGGGTGCGTATCAGGAGGGAGTATTGGGAGGAGCTGGGGCGGATGCCGTGGGCGTTGAGGTCGCGGAGGAGCTCGACGATTTCTTGGGGCCGCATGAGGCGGTAGAGGGTGTACACCATGTCAAGGAGAAGGGTGCGACATGGGATGCCGGTGTCTTTGAAGGCGAGGATGGCATGTGCGAAGGGGCCAATGGCCTGTGAGTTGCCTTCGGGGTTGGTAATTATGGTGCCGCCGGGGTTGTCCATCCCCCGCAGCTGCATGAAGACGGCTTTGGCGTTCTCTTTCTCGGTGCCGTCTGCACCCTCAACGGCCATGCGGAAGGGGAGGTACTGGCGCACGACAAAGCGAGCGATTTCAGGGTCGCTGCGGAAGGCGAGGTATTTGGATGCTAGGCCTTTCCTTAATACAGCACCCTCAATAGCCCAGAGTGCCACGCTCTCCTCGTTCCTCCAAAGTTGACTTTTGGCCACGGAGGAAACAAACGGCCACAATACTCGCACTGGGAATATCTCGTTACCTCTTCGTTGGCAGTTTATAGTTATCCTGTTTATTACCATGATGAGGACCTGGTCAAGCTGCTCATGCGAAAGAATATCCAAGAAGTTTGGCAGAAATGGGATGCTTTCGTCTAGTGACGTAGTATCAACCCTCTTGTCCTCGTCCCCTTGCCAGTTCCATATCCAGGCCTCCATGAGGGTTGCAAGATGCATGGTGTTCACCTCTCCGCGCAGACGCAGAATGATAATCTCCATACACATTTTGAGCAGCGGAGTAGCTCCGTTTCCCTCCCACCATTGTGACCGTCGCCCAAATTTGAGCCGGCAGGCTCGTCCAATAAACGCGCCAAAAGTGTCCTTGGTAATATCTCTTATTGATATTGCGTACGATGTGTTGAGGGCCTCCCATAAGTCTACAAGCTCATCCTCAGTTCTCCCACTCAGTCTATCAACAGTGCGTACACCAGCCAGCACATCTAAATCTGAGATGAATCCGAATGACTGGACCTTCAAAGCGTCAATGATCAGCCTGTACGCATCCTGATACCTGAACTTATCACAGAGTGCATCGCACAACCTTGCGATATTATGTGTTCCGGGGACATTGACCGCCGGCTTCAGCGCATACCTGACCGCGTCATTGATCCCGCCCAATTCCAAGAACCGACGGAACACCGCTTGACTCGTCTCAACACCTATCTTGACAGTCCCAGCAGCGATCCTATCACACACCCCAGACAGCTCTTCTACATCTGTTGCCTTGGCCACTTCAGCTGCATACCCCTCCTCCGTCGGCGCCTTCACAACAAGGATTTGCGACAACATCTGCGCCGTCTCGTTTAGGACATCCATGTGCAAATCCTTCTCCACCTTATAATCCAGCCCCATTAACATCCCTCTAAACCGCCGCCGATGCTGGGTTTTGCATGTCTCGCACAACCCCTCGAGTATCCTCCGCCTCGTCACCGCATCGTACTTCTCCAGGCTCATCCATACCAGATCCACACCTTCCTCAGCTAGCACATCCTCGCTCTCCAGAACCTCCAGAAAACGTTTGTACATCCCTGCCTCCAAGAGTCTCTGGAATAGCGATACCACGGCCCGGCTGCTAAGCTGTAGATATGGCGAGTGCGACTTTAGAGCCCTGTGCTTATTACTGATCCATTTCAGTGACTTCTCAGTAGATAGAATTCCCTCCTCGAGGTCACGCAGGGCGCGTGTTGATGTTGGTGTAGCAATGGAGAGCGGTTTCGGGGGGGGTGGCGAGTACTCGTTGGTGCGCGTTGGGAAGAAAGCCTGAATTGGCTTGAAGATTGCGGAAAGAAATGCGGAGGTAGTGGTTCCAACGTCGGTGAGCTGGTAATGTACGCCCTTCGGCCGTGTCGAGGGTAACACTGCAATGCATATATGGTCAACCAAACGCCTCCCCCACGAGAAAAGGAAAGTGAAAAAAAAGAAGCAAAGATGAGGCCAAACCCACCATCTTGAATCCGACTCCACGAGAATGTCGGCGGCGCATCATCCCACCTCCCCAGACCCCCATTACCGCTACTACCACCAATACCTGTTGTGTCGGCAGGGAGCCCAATGCTCATGCGTCGTCTGAGCAGCCTCCTCGTGTGGTCCTCATCGTTACCGGTGGAAAAGCTGCGAAGGAGTAGGCGCTGCTGCGGGTGAACGATGAGGAGTTGGCTTCGGCATTGGCGGGTGAGCATGAAGCGGGAATTGAAGTCGGGGGGGTGGTAGATAAGTGTTCATGTCACACCTTGGTGGGGTGAATTAGAGTGACGCGGGGGCGGGTGTGGGTAGGGTTGGAACATGCCAAGTCTTCAATCACGTGAGCGATAACTTGGCAGATTTTTTTTTTTGTTTAATTCCGAGTCATTAATTGCATAACTTGGCAGATAAAAGTATGGAGGGGATTGGCCTCACGAGAAGTTTTTACCATTTATATCATTGGAGAGTATGTCTGTAGTGGACTCTCTCAATTAGCCGTGTGAAACGGGATCAGCAAGCCTTTCACCCGACCGATGAGATAGATGGATGGAGAGAAAAGGCCAAGCTATCATTGACCCTAACTTGGCATTATGGATTGAAAGGTTACTGGTGCGTAAATTATCCGCTTTCCTAAGATGCCAAAGACCATTCTCAATAAATCTCTTCGTGATACTTTACTCCATGTCCGATATTATGGACTATAGGCTCGTTCTAGTTAATCAACATGTCAAAGGATGGTCCCAAGTGGATTGATGGCCACAAATGCTTCAACTATGCTATCAGTAGAATTCAATCTACGTACATACCACCATAATCATTTCACCAAGCTCCGGGCATCTACTATCTCTGCCAGCGCCCGGATATCTAAGTCACCCATTCGCATCAGCTCTATCCTTTCCTTTTTTTTCCGTTAACATGCATCATTGGCAGGGTATATGACTCGGTATTTGTAAACGTACTATCCTGATTCATTCAATATTCCAGGACTAAAGTGTAGAAATGTTCTCGGGAGAGATGGGATTATTGGCCGGTTCGGATTCGTGTGGTTTCAGTTCCAATCTAGAGAAGAGTGGGGGTGAAATGCGGAGTGGCCAGTGTACTACAAGGCAGTGCGTGTTCTAATGGATGTACCGAGACCGAAATAGTGGATGAGGAGGAAGACGACAATGATATCAATAGGACTTCCGGAGTTTCTAGCTTATACAACATAATTGGGGACAAGTTACCACGCCACCTATCCCTTGTCATAAGTCTATAGTTATAGGATACATAAGTAATAGTCATGTATCCTTCACGACAACACCGGCCGGACGTACATGTAGCTTTCGAAGGGATACATGCACGGGAAGTATGTGTGAAGTTTAGATACATGTATACTATATGTAGTACATACATGTAAATTGTTATGGAGACAGAGTAGCATTCTTTTGTAAATTTCGTGGGTTGACCCATTGACGACAAATCTGGTGGTATCTACGAATGCGCCAGAACACGCACATAACCAATAAACAATTATATCTATTCAATTCAATTTTGCTCCATGGATATTTCCCAATTATAACATACCTTGGCGCCAAGGATGACTTCAATTCGGATGGTTGCAATTTTCAAGCTAGAGCAAAGCTTCTGAAAAGTTCAGTAAATACATGTACCTGTGTTTGGTCTTGAAACCATGTACATGTATGCACCCCTACGCGAAAGTACCTGATGGTGTAGAAAAATTCAGATAGAGCCCTAGGGTTAGGTGTACCTGCATACGCACAGATACAACTCCAAACTATCCCTCGTCGCTAGAAAAGCTACATGCGAGCTCCCGGAGCTATGAGAAAACATGGCTATATATGCAAAGAATACTTCTAGCCTGGTATAACTGCCTTATTCATTGGAAGACGAGAAAGATCGGTACTAGATACGTATTGCAATAGGAGACAGAGGTCTCAAACCCCAATTAAACACTGCACGCGCGTTCGCTACCACTGATTCAATGTAGATCTATGTATAGCACATACTTATGAAAAAGCAATTATTACATATACCCTCCAAAACGAAACTATAAAAGCTTCTCTGTCGACCAGCTTCGTCACCAAACATCCCCGTCGGCGTTGCGGCGTCAGCTCCGTCGTGATGCGCGCTGCGACGGAGCTTCCCCCGCCGTCCACCACCCCCGGTGGGTACGTAGTGCTTCTAGGGAATGTTTATATACCCAACAGAAGCTCTCCTTTCCTTTCTTTCTGTCTGCAGTTACATACCAAAAGAGAGATGTGCGGACACCCACGATGGCCAGCTTTCGAACTTCTTTAATTGCAATTGACGGATATATTATCTAAGAACAAACCTCGATAAAACTACGAGAAAGAAACGACATACGAAATGAAGAGAGAGAGAGAGAGCTAATTTGCTAACAAAGGAAAACCCAGAATGAACGCTCAGCCCAAGATGCGGACATGCCTATCCAACATCGGCTGCTATTACAACTACATATTCTATACCCGACCCTAGCTGCTATACTATTACGCCGTAACAAGCGTTCCAGTCGTATCAAAAACGCCTATATACCCAAACCCAGGAACTAACCCGACTTATCATAATTCTCATTCTTTTTTGCGCTGCCAGTATTGAGCAGCCCCCTCTCAACCTCAACCTCTTCCATCCCCAGCGTCTTTCTACCAAATAATGCCGCGGAAGCCCCAACGAGGATACTCTTTGACATCCACAGACCGAAGATCACAATCGATATCAGAGTCAAGTTCCATCCTAAATAACGGAACCCGCTACCATATTCTTGGCCACCGAGCTCCAGGCATACTTTCTGCGCCTTCGACGGCGTGGCCGCTCTGCCAAATCTGTTCAGGGAGAGCTTGGAAAGGACTGAGGTAGATGGCACTATAAATGGACAGATGGCTTGAAGATATGCACTCGCTTCTGATGTGGCGGTGGACGGCAGCAAGACCAGATGTATATTCTCATCAGCTGCTTCTTTTCGCAGCACATCAACCGCTTTTTCGGTAGCGGTATACAACTTCTCGCGAAGCTGTTTGATTTCTGGAGTAGATTCGAGAGCATAGGGGGGGGAAGAAGATGCAACATAGTTACTGTTCCTTGCAACTACAAGAATTTGCGCCGCAGGGTGTGCTTGGGATCGGAGACGCGCGAGAAAGAGGACAAGTGCGTGAGAGTAGTCGTCTGGGTTTTGGCGGTGGGTCAGGATATCCAGAACACCAAGATCGACGACAACGATATTGACAGGCGGGATGGGTACTTGTGGCTTGGTAGATAGTTCGGGAAAGCGGTAAGGTGCCCCGAGGTGGGAATTGTGGTGCGGATCGAGATCTGAGTCAGATTCCACCCAATTGAGGGAGAAGGGAGAGGTTTGGAAGTACTGATCAAATAGCCCGGCCTGATCTGGACAGGATGTGAGAAGGCAGGTTCCTATAATCGAAAATTTTGTTAGTTTATTTTTTCCTGGGAGAGAATAAACAAAATACGAACCTGCGGAGATATGGCTGTGTCTCACACCCAATGTTTCCCCTACTCTATACTGCACACTGTGTCGCCAGATATCGAACGAGGGTTTCGGCTCATCATCATTTTGAATATCGTGTTCGCCAAAAAATCCGCTTTCCCTTTCCGCATCACTTCCTTCACCAACAAACTCGATCGAAAGCCTGTCGTCCTGCTCTTCCATCCACCCTTTCCCTTCGTTTATCAACGTCTTCTGTACCTCCAGGCCCTCAAAGATAATGGTGTTTCCGGAACACTTGTAAGTCGGATCAAGTGTGGTTCAAGCATGTCGTCCGGGTTGTCTTGCGCGCCTCCAACCAATTCCTTGATCGGAACACTGAAAGAAGTCGCCATTTCAGCTTTGTTCAACTTGGTTGAATTGAAAGCTGGAATGCTGTAGCGTACGTCTTCCCCACCATCGACCGACACATAGAAATGGTAGTCCTCAATCCAGCCCTGCGGTTTCGGCACAATTTTCACAGAGATTTCAGTGCCATGAGCTAGAACGGTCACGGAGTTTCCGGGCCAAAGTGTGGACTGGTAAACCGGATTCTGCGGCCGGGTAGGGCGTGAGGGAGAGAGGAGCCATCGGCCGGTGAACTACACGATTTTTTTACTTTTGTCAGGCGCTTGAAACATTGGGGATCTCCGGATCTTCACACGGAGCCGGATCGGACTTACGCTGAAGAGACCTGGGTGTGTTCGTGGGTTTATTGTGAGGCTATCAGGTACATTGTATTTCGGGTCAAAAGCGGTGCTGTGCGTTCCTGGATTGCTCTCGTCCTGTCCAACTACGGCGGGGAGAAAGGCTGCAAGTAGAGATAGCAGATTAGTCGCACTGGTATGTCGAGGCTTCATTATGGGCGGAGGATGTAACAGAAGTAGGAAGATAGGAGCGCTCGTCACAGACAGCTTTGGAAGAGAGTAGAGAACAAAGGGCCACAGTAATGTGGAACACGACACGGGGAAGAGGGGGACTGTTAGGATAGCACTTGACCTACATGTACCTTCTTCTGACTTGTCCCTGAACTTAAACTCATTACCAAATGACCCACCTTGCCGTTTATCAAGACATTTTCGGGGGGTAACTTTTTGCTGTCTTGCGCTGCCCCGACCCGAAACTTGGGGAAGAGCTAAATCGCTTGGCTCAAGAGCCTCGAGGTACCAAAGACCACTAGTATTCAGTAATATTCTCCTCTAGTACATGGCGTCGTGGTTAATCCTTGACTCTGAGACCGAGCTAGTCCCATAGCAGGTTCTTAATTTATCAGTTTTGCTTTAAAGCTCAACTCGGGGGGTTCTATTATTACCTGTATTTACTCTATGTCGGCCCACGGTTTACAGCATAACATCAGTTGATTCAAACTCAGTGAATATGCTTGCCACAGAGCTTCAAGCTGTGTCAAGAAATCCAGAAATGATGCTTGATGAAGTTCTGCCAAGACCCTCGAATCAAATGCAAAAGTCACTGCGCTCATGCACAGCCTCCGAACCCAATCAAAAGGGGTGGACCGGGACTTTTTTGTTAACCAGAATCCGCACACAACCGTACCTACATAATCGAATTTTATAGAGTAGAGTGGCTCCTGCGGGTCAATTGGACGGTTAGGGACAAGGAAGGGTCTGTGGGCAGGCATCGGAAGGATCGTGCCGAGCACTTCCTTCTAGAGTGTCCAGCGCAAGCTCGGGGACGTACTGGATGGATATGAAACCGATGAAGATGTTGATGCCTCCTGTGGATTCCTGCCTGACCTTCGGAAGTGGCGTTATTACGAAGATGTCCGTTTCAGTGACGAATAGAAGCAGAGGTCCAACTCTTTTTCTTCAGCCTCCAGATAGTATTTACTAACTCTGAGTATTAACACATTAACTACTCGGGACGCTTACACCCCCACATTCACATTCCATCTTCGATCCTCGACATATTCAAATTCACCCGCCGAGGACAAAACAATCTCGAGGACGCGCGTATACCTCTTGGCCTCCAATGCCGCTAGTCCCGTGGACGTTTCGGTATACCGCAGAATTCTTGGCCCAACGACAGTTTCCCGGCGCTGCGGCCTCCCATGGGTTATGTTTGTTATTACATGTAGCATAGCCTTTCTTGGCAGACAGTACTTACAAATATACATAAATTAACAACAGCCTGTACCTGCCTCGTTCCAGATGATTGCACCTCCGAAACCTGTCCATTAGCTAGATGTGGGTGTAGTGATGTCTGGGTGATAAGGATAACCCATCGTTTCTTTGGTGAGCCGAGTTCTCTTCAACCTCAAGGGCATCTACATATATAACATTGGGTTGTTTAACCCCTCAGTCGTGTTACGTAAATATCTGCATCTTACAGAGTTTTAGAAAGTATTTAACAACATTTACGTTTTTAACGGGAGATCAATAGCGTGGAGAGAGCCATCTAATGCTGCTTTCCGTAGCTTATCTTTTATGAAAATCTTGAAAGCTGGGCATCTCGGGTCAAGCCGTAGGGACTGGGCACTAGCATGAGCACTGAGTGGTCCTTAACATGAGTGTGAACGGTCAAACTGAAGGAACACAAACTCAGTAGTACATGTACATGTATCTACATTTGCTTGAGCTCCCTGAGCTGCGGCGGTGTTTATGTTTATGACAAATATGCATTTAAGGACTGCCCTTTGTGCATACATACGTTAGTACATGTAGGTAAGACCTGCAATGCCCGGAACCGTAAACACGTATGAACCTGATTAACTTATATGTACGCATATATGTTTTACTGGTACATGCGTCGTTGTTATTCCACTTCTTATGTGTCATGGAGCGAACCTCAACGTCCCGGATAACAAACATATCAAACCATATCAGAGACGAGTTACTACGTTCAAGGCCTTAGGATCAACGGATGGTTGTATTTCGATCAACCGGGATGCTTGAGATCATGATAGGTCACTCGTTGTATTATACATGTAACATATCACGGTTTGCAATTAACCTCGTTGGATTATACTAGAGCTCAGCCGTTCGATCCAACAATCACATACATGTAACTTTCAGCTGAATTAATGTTTGAGTGTCATTTTGTTTTGGTACACCGTGTGCAGCTATGGGTGATTCGAAAGCCTGCTTTCAATCTCGATCTCACTAACAGGGGTCATTTTTCTGTCTGAAGACAGATGTAATTACATGTAAGTCTCAAAGTTTACATGTGGGTGTACAATACAATTGCAATGCAAGATTTGGCTTTTATATGAACTCAACTGTCTTCTGAAACGTCAATTAAAAGTAGAGAAGACGTATTCGTACATGCTAATAAACAAAAATTTAAACATGTATGTGTACTTAAGCACACATATGTGTAATCCCCTCTCAGGACAACAACATTCAACGCCTAAAGAGAACAACTTGATAATGCAACATATGCGACAATCGGGCGCGGGCCAAGTTTACTAAGTAGCTAGATATAGACGCCGTGGCTCAATACCTCTCGACAGCTGTCCACTTGACCAAGTACTATATAATGCCTCCTACTCTCCCTCCCTCTAAATCTTCAGGATCAGATCAGGTCTGCCGCTCCAAGCGGAGCAGACGAACTTTGGTGCTCAAGCATACCAATTTCCGGTGGTTATGACTTCCCATTGCACGAGCGGGAAGTTGTGGCCTCTGCCAAAGTTCTTCGGAACTTTGAGGTCGCTAATTTTTTGATCCGTTTAGTGGTTGATGCGTGCATCACTAAACTGACGAACTCTGGTTACTCAGGTTTACCAGAGTTCCAGAACGCAAGACTCCCATTGCACAACGGGAAGTTGAGTCTCTGCCGAAGCTCTTCGGAGTTCTCAGGTCGATTAATTTTTGGTTTATTTTTCTGTTGGATCATGATTGTTCCTCCATCTTCTTTATACGCTTGGGATAATCCGAGGCTATGATGAAGTTTATGATCGAACTGTTGATTCATTGTATCAGTCTTTTACTCCATAGATAATAAAGGAAAGGATATGGGAAAGAATAAAATATGCTTATTGAATGGTGGCTCATAAACTGTTAGAAATATAAGCGGATATTGACTGCTTTCTTGAATGCTTGTATTATAGAGAAAGATATTTGTATTGCTTGTATACTCGACTACAGTGCAAATAGGTGTCCTTATATACACATAAAAACCTTGATATACCGGACTATATAGCCGTTGACATCATCTACTTGACACCATTGTGACTGCATTTGATGATTCATTGTGAAAAGGTCCTAGGCGCGGAAGTCATATTTCAACACGGTTCTGTGATAACTACATGTATATGATGCAAAGTGGGGTAAAGAAACCCAAATACATGTAGAGGAAATTAAAACCGTGGGAACTACATGTAAATTCCGGCTCTAGCTCTTTCTTAATTAGGACAGGTAACATAATTAGTCATAGTATATTAACTACATCTTGTAGCGATTAGCCCTCATTATCCTCGATGAAATGTCTGCATGGAACGCCTTTTTGTCCGCCTATCGGATTATCATTAGACATAGCGTGCCTAGGTGTTTTAATAAGCCGACTATTATATTTCTGGATACCAAAAAAGTGGATAGATCCAGTATCATACCTAGCAAGGTTAATTGTGATATTGCTACTATACTTATAATTCATTCCTACGACATAATTGCTTTCTCTCCTTTAAGCTCGAATTTACTTGGTTTCTCTCTGGATATACGTATACTTCCGGCGATTTAAAGGTACTATACTCTGTATATGCGCTATCTATATACCTCTCTGATCCTATACAGATCTTTAGCATTATCCATCTAGTTAGACTCTTAATCTTTTAATATTCGCGGTGGAAGCCATCCCGGATATTCTGAAGGTGTTCAAACTTGAAGCCTTGAAGATAAATTACAGATCTTGCATCGAAACGACCCACAACAACTCTGTAGACACCACCTGGGGGGATCTACAGACCACATCTGAACGTCTACAAACCTTCAAAAATATCCACGGGATGGCTTCCTGAAGTTCGGAGTGTGTGAGAAAATGACTTGAGTGTGGTTTGAACACGTGACCTTGAGGGAGGATGAGGTTTGTAGTGCGAAGAAGATACTATTGCGCCGCTGAAGTTCCAGCAACAATGTGGGCGTTTGAGCGCTCTATATATACAGATATTCTAATACCACGTGATCCCCTGATTACATAATCCCTGACACTAAGCCTTGTCTGAATCCTCGTTCCTTCTATGAGTCATCCCTTATACATGAGTAATTCCATACATAACCGATGTCGCAATGCCCTATTTCTACACTTCCCCTCACTTGCCATATCGTATCAATTCTGACAATTTTTGGTGAGCTGGTTTTGGTAGTCCTTTGGTCATTATGTCTGCAACATTGTCTTCGGTTGGGACATAGAAGAGTTTGAAGGTTTCGGCTTCGAGTTGTTCACGTGTGTAGTGATAGTGAACGTCGATGTGTTTGGACCGGTGGTGGATACGTGGGTTCCGACAGAGTTCGATAGACCCTGTGTTGTCGGCGAGGATGTTGTATTGGTATTGTTGTTGGAGTTCGCATAAGGCGTTGCGAATCCATACCAGTTGTCGAGCTGTTAGGGACAGAGCCATATATTCGGCTTCTGTTGTTGAGACTGCGACTGATTTCTGCTTCCGGCTTCTCCAGCTTATGGCTGATTTTCCTAGTCTGAACACGTAACCTGAGAACGATTTTCTGTCATCTAGGTCTGAAGCGTAGGAACTGTCTGAGAAACCATCGAGTGTTCTAGTGTTTCCTTTCGGGTAGAACAGGTTCCAGTCCTTGGTTCCGTTGAGGTATCGGAGAGTTCGTTTGGCTGCTCGTAGGTGGTCCTCAGTTGGGCATGAGGAGTACTGAGAAAGGGCGGTAACGGTATGGGTGATATCAGGTCTGGTTGCTATGCTGGCGTACATGAGTGATCCAATTATGGATTGATACTCAGTTGGTTTCTCGATTTGATCTTCTGGTTCTCCTTTACGAAGACTCAGATTTGGTTCGAGTGGTGTGCCAACTGGTTTGCAGTTATTCATTCTAAATTTGTCTAGGATTTTGTTGATGTATGCTAGTTGTGACAACGTGATACCGTTCTTTGTTACCGTTATTTCTATTCCCAGTAGGAATTTCGCATTACCGAGATCCGTACATTCGAAATCTGCCTTAAGTAGTTGTCTGATTTCGTTTCTGAATGGGGAGTCAGGTCCGAATATCATGATGTCGTCAACATACACCGATATGTATAGTTGGTGTTTCTTATGTATGAAGACACATGGGTCGAATTTGGCTGGGACAAATCCTTTCCGTTGAAGGGAGTCTGCTAGGCAAGCATACCATTCACGGGGTGATTGTTTTAGTCCATATATGCATTTGCGAAGTTTACAAACCTTATGGTCCTGCCTGTAGCCTTCAGGTAGTTCCATGTAGATTTCCTCTTTTAGTATACCGTATAGGAAGGCTGACTTGATGTCCATTTGTTGTGGTGTCCAACCGTTGTGTGCAGCTAGTGCAAGTAGGAGTCGTAGGGAATCGTATCGGGCAACGGGGGCGAAGGTCTCATCATAATCTTGATACTGTACTTGGGTGAAGCCTTTGGCGACATATCTTGCTTTGTATCTTTCGATTGTTCCGTCCGCGTTGTGCTTTACCTTGAATACCCATTTTCCTTTGACTACTGCTCGGTTGGTTGGTCTGTCGACAATGTCCCAGGTGTGGGCCTTGTCAAGGGCGTCTTTTTCAGTCTGTATTGCCTTTTTCCATAGGTGTTGATCATCGCTTTTCATTGCTTGATTGAAGGTGGTAGGTTCAGTTACTAGGTGTACCCGATGTATGGTGGGATCAAGGTTGTCGTACTGGCTTTGGAGTTTTGCTTTGTCCTTTTTGTGGTCTAGACTGGCTTCTTCCATTGCTAGTTGCTTGGTTTGTTCCTCCATATCTTCATCAGCTAGTATCTCTGATACCTCTTTGTCATAAGTGGTTCCTAATTCCGATATTTTCTGTCGGATTTCTTTCCTCTCCCCCTCGATATCAAGTGCTGCTTGTTTCTCCGTTCTTTCACGGATGCGATTCGATCTTCTTGTTGTAACAGGATGCGGAACTTCAGATTCTTTCTCCTTTTTGGTTG